CCTGTGCATGGCTGTGCATGACCTCATATGACCTCATCCTTGGTCATATGACCTGATCACCTGACTAGGCTGAGTAAGCAAGATGTTCTAGCAGGTTCCACCACAGAGGTATAAATATAAGGCCTACTCTGCCTGGGACTGTCTCTTCAGACTTGGTCTCTTAGGATCATCCACAGGTACCTATACTGTAGATAGGTCTTAGTCATCAGGTCTACTCCACTTCCTTGTTGCCTGCTTAGACTCTTGGCACTCTTAGGTGAGCAGACTTAGTCAGCCTGTGTTGCCCTAACAGTAATCTGATTAGTCATACATAGTCTACAGTGCACTGGCAGGCTTCAAGTGAGGAGCAAAACCTCAATGCTCCAAGCCCTCTATGATTGCCTCATTCCTCACCTTGATCACCTCGTCAAGGAAGAACTCAAATTGAATGGCACTCATATCTCAAAGCTGACCCTGATACTTGCATATCCATGCATTGGTCTGCTTGCATGCCAAGGAGTTGAACATCCAGGTTTTGGATGCTGGATCATACAACTCAGGGAAAGATGCCGGATTGCAGTGAGTGCTGCAATAGATGTTGTTGTCTGCATGCTTTGCCTTGTAGTGGAAGACATCCACCACAAGGGCAGTCTCCTTGAAGTGCTTGGCTTCTGGTCAGCCTACAAGATATTGGCCTAGAGTGCAGTTGTTGTCAAAGAACAACACCTCAGGCATGGCCTTGCATGTGAGGAATATGGACATGAGGAAAGGCTGAGAAGTGAAAGGTTAGTGTTTGCTCTACAGATGCATGAACTTTGCTGACTGCAACTGAGGACATGCCCTCTGAACCATAGAAGGTTGCCTGAGCAAGTACAATGCCACATGGATGGACCACAAGCTGTTTGTTGTGTGTCCTGTGCCTGCCAAAGTGCAAGCCTTTGTACTTAGGCTTGGCAGCAGCCTTGCTCCTTCTCCTTCCTCTTCTCTTTCCCCTTTGCCGGCCCTTCACCAACCGGTAGGGTTTCCCCATTGTCCGGAAACTGCACCTGCAGTTGCACCTGCTCGTCCTGCGCCTTGTCCTGTGCCTTGTCCTCCTTGTCCTCCTTGTCCTCCTCCTCCTGCTCAGCTGGTCTTGGGTGATAGTGGCCATGGCCAATCTCATTGCATTGGTATGCCTCACATCAATGCTGTTGGAGCAAGGCATACAAATTGCCAGCAGCACAGTATGCTGTCTCTCGTGCAGCATGCTCTTCCAGATCACAGGTCTGCATGTCCAGTTGTGTAGGAGCATTGCAGCCTTGGAAGATGCAGATGTATTCAAGATGGGTGTGGGGAATGCAGAAGCAGGTGCAAGAACTAGGAAGAGGGAGAGGACAGTTGTGGACAGCGCAGCATGGGTGGCCAATAGCTATGCCATCTGTGATGTCACAACTCATAATGTCTGTAGAGGTTGAGTAATGCAACTGGATGATTCAGTGCACTCACAGGGATGCCCATTGTGCTGGATGGTCTTGGTGCACTTGGAGCACACATGTGCCCAGTGGGGCTGGCTGGTGTAGGCCATGAAAGCATTGCGCTCTTGCATGGTGTATTTGAGTCAGTCATACTGGTGCTGGGCATCATTGGGAAGGTGGAGAATGCTGCCCTGCTTGGCATGGTGGAGAAGCAAAGCATAAAGGTCAAAAAGGTTGGATATACTTTCACCTCAAAGGAGGGATGGGCAATATTGACCTTGCTGCCTGACGCTGGCATTTGCCAGCATCAGGTTGTATATGTCTGCATTTGCAGATGAGGATGCACTATCCCTGTGTCAGTCTCTGCTAGTCCTAGGGATGATGACACACTTGGCAAGAAAAAAGAAGAGATTGCCATCCAGCAGCCCCTCTGGGAAGAGGTACACACTAGAGGGGAGGGAAGGAAAGGGAAGAACAAATGGATAGATGTGCATACTGGGTGTGGATGGTCTGCATGCGAAAGAGACAGAAGAGATGGTCTTCAAAAGCCATGTGCTTTTCAGCTTGAAGGACAGATGGCATGCTGCTGTAGTAGACCTGAACCTCCTCTGCTGCTTGCTTCTCATGGTAGAAGTTGAGGTAGTAGGTCGTCCTACATATCCTGCAGTGCAAGAATATGAGGATGATGGGGATTGTACCCTGGGCCAGCATGTACAATGTGGCAAAGTGCTGGTTGTGAAGGGTCAACATGGCATGCATGCCAGTGCAAACATGGTGGGGACAGGCATCCCTAAGGCATATTTGGGTCAGGGGGTAGAAATGTTCGATGCCTAGTAGTATATAGATGAATGGGAGATAAGGGAATGAAAGGAGGAGCTCACCCAGGTTGTATTTCTGCACAAAGCGCACAAAGAAAGGGAGGGGATCTACCAGAGGGCCAGTAGGACACATAGGATCCCTGTCAGGTGTCCAAGCAGTCCACTGAAGAGCTTACCAGAGGACAGGAATGTGCCCTGGTGGGAGCCCAAGTGAATCAGAGAGGAAAGCTGTGATGGTGTTCAGTATTGCAGCCAGGGGAGTGTTGAGGTGTTTGATGCCAGGGATTTCTTGCCAGGTGATGCATGTTTGGAGGTGCTGGCAGAGGGTGATGAAGAGGAGGGCTTGCTGGATGGTGAGTCACAGCAAGGACTCGTGTGCTGCCAAAAGCTGGTGAATGAGGTTGAGGAGTAACATGGTGGGTGGGGGAGTTGGTATGAGGAGAGGAGGGGAGGGGAGTCAAGGGAGGGAGGAGTCAGTGAGGGGAGTCAAGGGAGGGCAGAGTCAGTGAGGGGCAGTGGATTGGCAGCAAGCTCGGCTGGTTGGACAACAATGAGCATGACTGGTGCCATTTGTTGGGTATAGTAGATAACTGGTGACAATGTACATAATGTAGGAGTACAATGGAATAATATTATGTCAGCTGAGTAAGATATGTACAGTAAGCAAAAAACACTGCCACGTACCCCGTCCAGAGTCCAGAGTCCAGAGTCCAGAGGACCCTGCCCCAAAACTCGTATGTACTGCCGCTTATGATTTTGACGTCGTTTATGTCTAGCCTTCTTTGCTCCAGTCCTCCGAAGCACTCTTTCAGAATGTTGGTTGGTCACAAGCGGCACTTTCGATATGGATTTGACTCGCAGCTTGCTCCCGTGGCGCATTCAATTTATCTTATGCTATAGTTGAAGGCGATAAGCATCTAATGGTCTTGTTTGGCTATCAGTAGGATCCTGCCATGGCCCGGAACCAGCCGGCGTACAGATTATCAACAGTCCTATTCTGCGCAGGTGACGTTTCTGGAGATAACCTTCTTTCAGAGGAATCCCGCACCATTTGATGTCTATGGAAACTGTTATGCGATCCGTCTGTCTAATCTGAGCCACCCACGTGCAAGTCATCGACTGCAGCACTGCGGTACATGACAGTTCGGGGTTGCATATTCTCAGGACCAGGAACCGCATTCATGTGAGGTTCCACCTTGCTTGTTTGAATTATATCGAAGAGGTAGCTCATTTTCTGCTGTCAGGGCAAGGGGCTGATAAGCCCCCCCGGCCACCAGAAAATGTGGATCAACTTCAACATGCGACACTGGCGGCCCTGTGGAGCCCAATGTTCCCGCCTTTCAATCTACTGGCCGCTATCGGTAAGTGGATTTAGGAGGTGTATCGGGCCTCCACAGTGGAGGTGAAATAGACTTACGTCCCACCAGCATATCTCCGTTGGCCACCCGCTGCTCTCGAAAGTGTTTGAAAAGGATTCAGACCGCTGCAAAACCGAAGTTCTGCTATAGGGTTAATATATCAGCAGTACACTCTTCCATTTGCATTTGAGAGTGTCCTTATCGGATTCTCCGTTGAATGCACTGGCGATGCAAGGCATTTCAGCGTATGACGATCACCTTCCCAATTTGATCACATAAGCGGCTCACAGATCGAATTACGTCACTTCTACAATAAGCCGACCGTACAGTGCTGCCAAATGAAGGGACTTGAACAGCCGTCTGTACGATCGAGTTGCGCAGTCACAAGCTCTAACCGACAATATAACCAAATAAGGAGCTCCGGACCCATCGGCTGGGAAAGACGCGGTTTGCAAGCATGGGCTCCACGACATGTGTCGGAGATTGCTCGACTTCTCCGAGCTTCTCTTATCAGTGCGGGGAATGTGTTAAAGACGTCGGTCTGAGAGCCTGTTCACACCGGTAGTCGTCATCAGGTGAAGGCTGTCCTTTGCCCTGTTGCTATGCGATTTATATTAAGAATAACCCAGATTTTTCCATTCGCTCGACCCTTATTGATGTATTAAACTGGCCGTCGGAATGGGCTGGTTCGGCCACCGGGTTTCTCTAGGATCGGCACAGTGGGACAGATAACGAGCTCCACAGCCACCGGTTGGGTCCACGTGGAGTCACGCTCTATCAACATTGTTCTTGCTTCTTGTCATCAGATGGGTACACTTTGTCCTCCTTCCTCTGGCGGCCTGACTGTCATGTCACATGGAAACCACCGCGTATACATTTTGGGAGCATTGCCCGAAGATGATAACGAACCGCAATGATAGATGGACCATGGCCCCTGTGCGGATTTTCGAAGGATATCGGAGCGTGCCTTGCTGTCTGAATGCAAACGATCATATATTAGCGCAGCCAGGCTGCTCTTGCTCTCTTAAGCGCACACGCCCCTGCGTTCTGAGTCTTCAGCGCGCTGTGCTCTTGAATTCCTCTGATCATGTCTGCCCCCGGCCCAAGTCCGATCATTGAGGACGTTATCGACCCGATCGATGAGAAGAAAGAGTTGGAGGCGGAGGCTGGAGTCAAGGCCGTTCCTCACGACGATCGCAGTGATACGGATACCACGGATGTCGATGACGCGCTCAAACTGGTTGGCATTGAAGCTCGTCAATTCGACGAGAAGTATTACCGAAGGCTCCGTCGCAAGATTGTAAGAATCCATGTCCTTCTGGTGGTTTACTTTGACGACTTATCTCGGACAATAGGACTGGCACATCATGCCTATCCTGATCGCTGTGTACTTCACTCAGGTATGCTTGGTATATTGCGCACATTTTCCTGCATTCACCCCCGCTCGCAAGTTCCTAGACAAGAATATCCTGTCCTACGCGAGCATCATGGGCTTTCCTGTTACCGGCATCTGGTATAATGATGTCGCTCAAGCCTTCTATATGGGCTTCATCGTATGGATGTTCCCTACTCAATATTTGGGACAGAAGTTCCCCTTGGCAAAATACCTTGGTGCCCACATGTACGTTCATGGGTTTTGTTGTTCTTCAATGAATGCTTCATGACAAACTTCGCAGTATCATCTGGGGTGTCCTTATCTGCCTGCACGCAGTCTGCTACAACTTCTCCGGATTCTATGCGCTCCGTTTCTTCCTCGGGATGCTGGAGGCCTGTGTGTCGCCTACGCTCATCCTCATTGTCAGTATGTGGTATAAGCAGAATGAGCGAGCTTCACGTATCGGCTGGTTCTATGCGGGTAACAGCAGCACGTCTATCATTGGTGGCGCTATTGCGTACGGCATTACGAACTACAATGGCCCCATTGCGCAGTGGAAACTACTGTACATCGTCCTTGGCATCATGGCTATCGCCGTTGGTACTTGGGTTGTCCTATTGCTCCCCGATTCCCCTGTCACGGCTCGCTTCCTTACCGAAGAGGAAAGAATCGCCGCCCTCGAACGCGTTCGTTTGGATCAGGCCGGCACCCACAACAAGCACATCAAGAAGTATCAAGTCAGCGAGACGTTCAAAGACATACGCACTTGGATCATGATTCTGATTATCCTCTGTATCGGCATTCCAAATGGCGGGAACAGTGCTTTTAACAACATCATTACGAAGAGCTTCGGCTGGACCAGTCAACAGGCACTCTTGCTCGGCATGCCTTCGGGTGTGATTGCAGGTGTTGCTGTGGTCGGTGCTGGTTATCTATCCGACTACTTTAAGGACCGTATGACCCTCATTCTCCTCTTCACGATCCCCAACTTGGTGGGTATGATCATCATGACCACGATGCAATACTCGGGGCTTCGTGGTGTCCTCCAATTCGCTTCGTACCTTGGAAGTCTCTCCGCCCCAGGCTTCCCTCTCTGCTACGCGTGGAACGCTAGCAATATGTCCGGTCATACCAAGAAAGTCACCGCCAATTCCGTGACCCTGTTTACGTTTGGCGTGCGCTCTTAGAATTTACCCACGACTCCTCTAACTGTTTCACAGGCGGGAAGTGTAGTCGGGACGTATATCTTTTTACCTCAAGACGCCCCTGGCTACATCTCCGGAAAAGCGGCTATTGTAATCCTGACCGCCATCATGATGCTTTGCAATGTACTCATGGCTTGGATTAATGTTCGCGCGAACAGGCAAAAGCGGGCTCAGTTGGCCGCCATGGCCCAGGAGAAGGGCTGGACTGAGGCAGACATTGAGAGGGAGCGCGAGAAGGCTGCGTTCCTGGACTTGACGGACAAGGAGTAAGTTGTCTTCCATTTTCTCAGGAACAGAATGGCTGACCTCATTGCTAGGAACGTCTTCTTCACCTACACTCGGTGAAAAACTGCACGCGATGTCGCGCTATTGTCTCTCTATTTTGTAACAAAATGGATTCTTCTGTACTCCTCTCATTGCGAAGGTTGTCGTGCGATGTGCTAGACGGTGTGGTCGTAAGGCGTTGATACGAAAGTGGACCAAGTGAGCGGACCGAAGATCGAGCCGAATCTTTGTACATTGAGGGAAGAGGGCTCAGGCGTCCCATTTGGTGAGCCTTAACGAAGCCGATCGGGATGAAATAAGCGCCTCGGTGGCTTTGTCAAAGTGAGGCAAACTCTTCCGGATGACCGCAATCAGTTCCCCAAAATATTATGCCGAAAGACTGCTCTTTTAGATACACAACAACTCGGATTAGAAACGGCTTCGCCGTCGTTTGCAATCCGCGACCTAACGAGATGTATCGACATCGTTCGCACGATAAGGATAGGCTCTCCCCACAGAGAGCCATGTGAGCTTCGAGAACCCTAAAGTAGTCCCGCGCTTCCTTAAATTAAACGGAGGCAGGGGCTTGTTGTGACTGGTTGCTACCACCATCTTGTCACCTTAACAATCTTGAAGCGACGTGTTTCCTCAGAATTCGCTCCAACAAGTCGATATTATGGGATCTGCTCTTCGGAGTTGTTTAGTGGCGTCTGGAAATGCGGCCTCGCGCCAAGCTACGACCCAAGATGGAACACGACCTCATGGGTGAAATGCATCTCTGAGTTTTTACTGTGATGATCGACTTGACAATAAGTTATTGTTTTCGCTCAAGGAGTGGTATTTGTTGGCGCTCACAGGTCTGTGGATGATCCGGCCATGGAGCGCTTCTTGAAGGACAATGAGGGACTCATCGCACTCGGGAGAGCTTGATATCGGCCGCGTCATCCACTCGTGGTATCTCCCGCAGAACGGGTGCGCGATAATCAATCTGGCACGAACTCAAATTCTATCAGGTTGGGGAACCGCTTGCTTGGCTCAAGTTCACTTGGGCGATGACCCTGGGATTGCCGAACGGGGTGATGCCATCGTTTGGGAACCTGGTGATAAAGCCGTTCGGGTTTATGTTACAGTACCCGAATTTGAAATGGACAGAGGAGCGATTTCCGCCCACTCAGACCTGATTCTCGGGTTTGTCAGCCATTATGACTGGTCAGATGACGTTCTGGCGCTTGTCATCCTTCTTTCGCTGCTCTGTACGGCGTTGACGATGGCGATGCAGGTTCGAGAAACAAAAAAGGCCTCTTGATCTCAGTGCGTTCAAGGCATAAACTAACCAGGGGTTACGCATGGGAGGGGGGGGGGGGAAGCATCAATGGGCACGAGCGCCTGGAAGATCAATCAACGCGCAGTCCTGTCCAGGTTGGGCGGCGGAAATACTTTGTGGAATTGTTTCTTTTCCGCCGACGCATCAGAATGAAGTCCGGTAAGTCATTGCTTGCTCTTGTATATTGTTTTTGTATACACCGGCGTGAAGGAAGAGTCAATGCTTTTTGTTCTGAGGATGGACTAGGTGAATCCGCTCTTGATGTCGAGTGCGAATCCGTCCGAACGCTCGCGTGGCCATGAAAAGCCTCGGCTTAGGGACGACCGCGTACACAGCCACTCGGCATTGATCCCTGGCCTATCAGCGTGCGAAGGAGCCGTTAGTCATGGGCCAGTGCCACCGGTCTGCGGCGTGGATGCTGCTGGACCGTCAACCACTCTCTTCTCCCGTACGACCACGGACTGTAACTCTCTATTTCTTACCACCACTTCCTACTCACTTGTTGGACGTTCTCTCAATAATCACTCCGTACCTCCGCAATGTCGACCCCAAGAGAGGACAACACTCACGACGACCACGAGACTCAGTCGCATATAGGCGCTTCTACTGGTCTTTTGTCCTCCGATCCACCACCAGCGCCGAATGCAAGCAATCCTTCTAATCCCGCTGGCACATCCGACACAGATCACGCTCATCGAGATGGCTCAGGCCAAGTCCAACCGTCTCAGGGGCCACAGCCTATGCCTCAGCTGGCACTCCACCCTACCGGCATCGAAAGCTTTTTCGCACGGATTGGAGAGATGGTCGAAGCCGTCGCGCGTGCAACGGCTCCATCGCTCGCTACAGAAGGCGTGTCTGATGGTCCCTCGGACTTTCGCGATCAGCAAGGTGATGCGGTAGGAAATGCGGGTGGACGGGCTGTGCGTCGTGTTTCACTCTTTCCCTCAGGCATACACTTACAATTCCTCGGACAACCTGCTTCTCTTGACCCACCACCTCCGTATACAACCGCTACCCTCCTTCAGGCTTCAGACTTTATGGAACGTATGAATCGAGCTATGCAAGACTCCCTTGCAGCACATCTTCCTCTGGAGGGGGAGAGGACGCACATAATGCCGATCCCTATGCTCATGACCTCAAATGGCCCCTTTGCGTCTCCACATCCTAATCGTGTAACTCGCCAGTTCACACATACTACTTCAGATGGACAAGCCCAGAACCTCCTCGTTGACATGTCCATTCAAGCTGTGCCACTTACCATGCCTCAACCACCAGTCGCCAACCGCCTTCCACCTCGTCCTGGAATGGGCATGATGGGGTCTCTCGATACTATGGATCTCGGTCGTGCTGCAAATGATAGGGATGCAATGCTGCGAAACGTGGCGCGACAAGCAGCCAGTCTGGTCCAAGCTGCGCAAAGGGATTGGCAAAGAACAGAGCAGGAGAGAAACTCTGAAAACACGCGCGAAGACGACGAGCAGAGGCACAGGCCGAGTACTGCGGAAGCTACGCAATCGAGACCTGACCAGGCAGATACTGCCGGGGTGCGTCTACCCATCCCAGAACACGCGGGTCTATCAGCGACACTCAACAACCATGAAGAACCTGCTTCCCGATTCTTCAATGACATATATGCGGGGATTATGGCCGGTCTTGAGAATCGAGACGCCACCGTTGACCTTGATCAACAGAGGGAGAGAGGCGACGGAGTCCCACAAGCAGCGGACAACGCGAACCAGTCCGATATCGAGATCGACATTACCGATTTCATGTTCACGATGCCTTTCCACCCAGAGAATGGTGCTCCCATTTTCAACGCGCTAAATGTCCCTGGAATACCAGGCATTGGTAGTACTCAAGGATCAATGAACGTCACTCAGCCCACAACCTCGACACCAGCGGCTCCGCAATCCGGTACTGAGAACAACGCCTCCCCGCCTGCCTCAAATCCGAGCACTGAGAATCGATGGGGTGGCTATCAGCTTCCTGAAGACCAGCCTGGCTTCGCTTTGGAAGGTGTTGTTGTCTATGACCTTGACGGATTTCACAACAGCTTCAACATTCCAGCTCCATCTGTTTCACCTTCAGCCACGCCCAACGTCCCTACACCTCAGGCCGGAGCAGACCGCGTCGACCGCGCACCGCAGGGCGACATCCCCGCCAACTTGCCTGCCTTTCCGTTCCGCATTCCCAGCCGGCCACGTTCGGCGTCTCCGCCTAGGAATAACCCCCTCTTTCCCGAGTTCCGCCACATGCCCTTCCGTATGCCGAATCCCGACTTCACAACGGGGAATACTGATGCCACCGCTGGCGCTCCTTTGGGTCCTGGCACGAGTGGTGGAGAACAAGGTAGACCGATGCGACCGCTACCACGGTCGGCTAGTGCAGGCTCGGGTCCATCTGCTGGTCCGGGCACCGATGAGCAACGCGGACGTACAGTCGTGTTCGAAGACATACCCCTATTCAATATCCGCATTCCGATTCCCCACGGAATGGCTGCGGACGGCACGCCAGCTGATCCTGCGCCAAACGGCCAACCTAGACCAAATACCAGCAATAATGGCGCATCCAGCTTGCCTCAAATCTTGCGCTTTTTGACGCAGGCGATGAATAATGGGATGCCGAACTTTTTCGCCCCGGTACCGCCCGACTGGGGCCGTGCTCGTATCCTACTCGAAGCATTGGCTGTTGTTGGTCCTGGTCTTCTCAGGAGGTTGGATAGGGTTGAAGAAGGTGGAGGGGGGAAATGCGCGGTGTGTTGGGCGTATCTCCGAGATAAACCGGATGTGGATGATGAAGAGTCCGGAGTGTCCGGCACGGCGCCTCGCGTAGATGGCCAGCAACAGTCTTCCACTGGAGCAACCGGGACGGCTGGCCGGCCCCACCAAGCTGAGAGACATCCACCTTTCCCAATTGACGAAGCGACCGTTCTAAGCTTGCCATGCACGCATACTCTACACGCGGCTTGTATCTATCCTTGGTTGGGGAATCACACTACCTGTCCTGTCTGCCGGTGAGCCAACTTCAAGCTCTCAATTTGATGTACCTATGCTGACATCATACCAGGTTCGATCTCGATCCCGACTCACTTACATTGAGGCGCAATCGCCCTCGCACTGATACTCCGGTACCCAATCCCACCAATGGAACCGATGCTCCTGGACTTCCCGGGTTCATGTTCGATACTATGCTGGAGAACTTATTCGGTGCTGGTCTGGTTGCTCACCCTGATCAGACACTGGATAACAATTCTGCACCAGCTGAGGAAGATGCCCAGAACTCTGCTGAACCGGGTGAGACAAGAACGACTCGGAGCACGCATCAAATCATGCCTGGGATGTGGTTGACTGTCGAGAGCGTGCAGCACGTGATGCCGGTTGGCGCTATGGGCGCTATTCATACCAACTCAGGGAATCCTGTGGAGCATCGAGCTGCGCAACCTGAGTCTGAGCCTCGGACTCTTCCAGCTACGAATATCCCGGTCACGCATCCTCCAGTTCAGCCGTCTCCCGCTGTGCACGTGCATGCGGCTGGCCCTCGAATGCCGATTCCGCCTGCGATGGTTCCATTCTTGAGAAACCTTTTGGGCCCGGAACAGGGTGAGATCCCAGGCCCAGATGGACCGCCCATAGCCCGTATAGGTGGTGCAGCCTCCCCAGCGGGTCACTCCATCATCATCGCGGGCCCTGGCATCCCGGATCCTGCTGTGCAAGCTCCCCCCTCTACCAGCGCGGCAGCTAGCACACCCACGAGTCGTGCGTCTACGCCCTCTCGTCCCCGGAAGCGCAAGTACACTGCTCCTTCTGGAGCCCAAACCCTGAGGGAGCGGATCGAGGCGATGGAAGAGAAGGCGGGGTTGCGCTGCTCTGCTCCATCCTGCGCGTACGGACCGACGGACGAAGACGAGCTGAATTTCCTCACGATGGTGCAGCCTGCAAAGCACGGAATATCCAACGACAACTGCAATCACCACTTCCACGCTACGTGTTTGGTCACTGCATGTCGCGTGCAAGGTCACGAAGGCATTTCGTCCGGTGAGGGTAAGGTTGCCGTCACTTGTCCAATTTGCCGTGGTGAACATGGTGCTGGCTGGATTGATGAAGCCGTATGGGAAGAAGGAGAAGTAGAAGGCGACGTCTGAGCCTGATTTTCGTGGTCAAAGTTTGCACTCTTGTTGCGTTACATGTTTCAGCAATGGAGATTCCCAACATATGCGACTTCCAGGTGTGTCTCGCCCTCATTTATCATACCATCTCCAGCAATACCACCAATTCACGTATCCGCTCGGACCAGGGATAAGTTTGTAGGAAATACCGGAATATGTTGTACTATAGAAACTGTGATAGATTGCGATTGCCCCGTATGCGGTTCATATGGCCTCTCTAAGTTACATCGCACAAGCCAGGATAGTAAAATGAAGCCATGCACATGCGTGTTTAATGGCCGCAGGATGTAAACGAATCGTTTGCCCTTCTCTACCCAGCTTCTCGCACCATTGAGGAACCTTTCGATGGGGAAGGACAAGAGTGTCTGAGACAACCTCACTTTTGAGTGGACCAAGAAGACCACAACGACCACGGCCAGTATGCATGCTGCCACCAAGTCAAGAGCTTTCGGCGTATCGGAGGCTTGCACACAGATGCATCAAAGGATTACTTGGTCGGGTGATTGCAATGTGAAAAACGTACTGTCAGTACTCCGGCCTTGAACAGCAGAATGCACCAAACGAGAATGAAACATGGGGCCGCAAGTAAAATGCCGAGCACAAGAAGAGATCCAGAACACCATGACTAACAATCAACCTTGTTCAGGAGGCTGGAAAAAGCTTTCAGCAAGGAAGCGTGTTGTATGTAGCGGAGGGCTTGATTGTCGCGTGGGTGACGAGACGAAGGGAAGAGTTAGGCACAGCCGTTGTTCAAAAGGTCATTAACACAACGATAAGGCTGATAATGACCTGCATCTGGAAGAGGTTTCGAGATTGCAGAACAAACGATGACGTTGTGTCGTGCGGGGTCAACCCTTCTTAGGTCATGGTGGTCTTCCTTTCCCGGCCACGTTGTATTGTATATCGCCAATATGACAGCCTTCTTGGGCGGTTCAATAGGGTGTACCTGGTAACTCATTATACACATCATAAATCTGAGCCAAGGCACAAATGTGGGGAGAGAAGAACATATCTTTGACAAATATTGCACAACACTTGCACTTGATAAAGAAATGTCCGTCAACAGACTACCAGATCCAGCATCAACGATTTAGCATTCAAGACGACCATAAGATTCAGATTACACCCCTTCGAGGTCCTGTTCCGCATACGCGATCCTCCGCTTCAGGTCAACATTCTCCCGGATAAGCCTGTCGATCTGCCGATCTTGATCTCTGATCCTGATGCGCGCTTTGGCGAGACGCTTCGCGCTCTCTTCGTCAATCTCGCCCACACCGACGGCAACACCTAGACGAGAGATCAGCATTCAGGGATGAGATTGACACTGAAGATTGGATATCTCACCTCCCACAAGCTTGACAATTCGCCAGAACCGAAGGAGCACGAATAGCCCCGCTAGCTCTCTGTCACGCCCCCTGAGAACGACTTCTAGCACGAATGTCCCCAAGATTACGATTGCATCGACGCAATGCAGGGGCGCGTGTGCCACACCGTAAAAGGGGTCATAGAACTCCCAACCAAGTGCCCAGAACGAGAACGGAATTTCAAGCACGAAGATGGAAGAAATGAGGATGCTGGCGTATTCTGAAAGCTCGAGCGGGAGAGGGCGCTCCTCGGGAGGAGGACATTGAGTTTGGAGGAGAGTATATGCCAGATCAGCTACAACGAGTGAAGAATCGATGATGATCTACGAGGAGAGCACGTAATCAGACACATCAGGTTCACAAGCAACAAACATTGAGCATCAACTCACCAAGGTCAAGATGAACCAATGCATCCTCTTACTCTCGAGCTTCTCCGCAGTCCACATCCTCCACGTGAACTTCTCATTTTCCGCAACCTCATCGAGAGTTTCGTCCTCGGGATGTGCAGCTTCGATGTCGGCAGGTGGTGCGGCTTCAACAGTGCTTAAGAGAGGTTGTGTCTCTCTGGAGGACGACATGATTGACGTGGTATTCCCCAATACTCGACGGGGAAGGATAGTAACAAGAACGTTGTAACGCTCACACACGTTGGAGGCTAGCGCCCCTTCGGTGCCTGCCGCATAACATTTCTATTTTTGTGACTGATTCTGAGGGCTAATCACGTGTCGATCCCTCGCAAAACACCCATTCCAGTCCACGTCACAAGAACATTCTCATTTCTCTCTCAACAACGGCTGAGTCTTTGGAATTACATTATTCATCGCGGCACGAAGACAGTGCGACTGTTCTATGAGACGGGTATGAGAAGCAATGGAATCGACTGTCCCGGAAGTCCATGATGTATAAGTCTATCCTTGCACACTAATCCAACACTGTTGTCCGCACATCACACCCTCTAGCAGCCCTCTGATTGGCCACAGTACCCGATAAACTGCTGATGACATGCCCAGCCCAGTACGCAGCACGCACCATGACCAGTTGCTCGACAAGACTCACATAGTCTGTGAACATTGCACCAGATCCCAGGAGCTGCCGATCGGAGGGGGTGAGGAGGTCTGAGAAGAGGATGGCTCCTTGGGATTGGAGTTCTTTTAGATACGTAGTGTTCCGTTCATCCGTGGCAATGTAAAAGCTGTTGACCTCGATTAGTTCAGGAACGCGGTTTCGAACAACAACGGACGGGTCATCATCCTTTGGTGGCTGTTTTCCCACCCAATCTCTTGAAGGTTCCAAACCACCCACATCTGCAAGTTGGAAGTCTTGCCACTCCTTCTCCGCAAGTCCTCTCAGTATGCCACGTCCGTTGTTCAGTTGAAGTTTCACCCTCTCGAGATGGTCATGGAACTCGTTTGCCCCCTTCAGAGTCCACCCTAATCGCACGACTGCGAGAACATCAGCTTCTTCATACGGTGCACGGGACGGAGCACTGACAGTCTCCCCGCCGCATATGGACAGCCATCCACATCCTTCCTTCCACCCGCTGGGTCATCCGGTGAGCCACTCGCTCAGCGATGTCTTTCACCACCCTCGGAAACTGCATGTCCCGTAGGACGAGGCCTTGATATCGCGTCCTTGCCTCAGCAGAGGTAAACCGCATGCTGCCCTGTGAATCGGTTCAGGTCTTGCATTTTCCGAGAGTAGAGATCACTCACTGGTGGGTAGCCGGGATGGTGCTCCCCTTGCAGGCACAGAATGTCTGCGTCCACGCTATCGTATTCGTCTACCCACCCTTTCATCGATTCCCGTCTGACGAATGCCTGCTTGCCCTCGGTCATCACTTTGGTGAGGTACTGAAAGGTCGCAGTGTACTGGTATACCGGCGCAAGGTCGTACGGCTGGACGAGCTCGACGAGTGTTTCATCTTTCAGCAAAGAGTTACGCATGTCATCAGGGATCGACGCGGGAAGAAATTGGAGGACAGCATTCCGCACTGAGCCCCAGTCTCCCTCCGTACCATTAGCGCAGATCAAGTGCAGCCTTTCTCGGAGAGTGCCGTCCATCTCCCATCGCGTCTCTGTGACCGTCGGTGGCACTCGATCAACCCGAACACTGCCTCGAGGCTCATACTGATGAGGGGCAATGTACACCATGCTGAGCGGCTCATAATCTGGCGCCGGTGTGAGATATAGCTCTGGATCCCACTGCCCGTTCGTCTTCTCGATGGTTGGTGAAAGGCCTTGCAACAGCAAGAACTGGGTTATGGTAATGACCGAATAATGGTTGGGAAGATCGAACATAAGCTGAATGGGTAGTCGCCAGCCGTCCTGCTCCTCCGGAAGGTCGTTCCACTCTATGGAACCTGATTCACCGCGATCCACCGAGTGGGCGAATGCCGCACAAATCTCGCTGTGCAAAATTTTGGTTTCAATTCGAAGGAGTGAGAAACGAGCGTACTGCGGGAATTCGCAATCTCGCGCATAGATAAAGCTAGGGAGAACGAGCGTACGATTCAGCAGCTCAGCGTGGTTTATGGCGGTCTCGATGATATACCGCATCTGAGTAACATTATTGGTGAGCATTTCCTACAAGACAAAACAAACTCGGGAGGAAAGACGTACATTATTCCAGCCAAGCCATAAGCTCCAGTCGCGGACATAGTATCCTTTTGTGTGAGCAACCGTGTCCCTGGCCTCAGCAAGCGTCTTGTCAAGAATATGTCTTTTGCTATCTGATTGGGCGCCAATTTGCAGGGGGCTGGCAGTCGAGAACGCAAGTTCCTGACATCGCTCGACCACCTTTTCTTCTTCTTCTAGATGATGCGTATTTGGCGATGGACCGGATAGGGCTGGCAAGTGCCATGCTTTCCAGAAAGGGTTCCCCTCCGGTTTTGGCTTCTCGACATCGACGTGAACGAACCCTTCTCTCCATTGGAATACTACCTGGAGATATGACAGACCGATGAGGACAAACAGCACCACGCCCAGTATGATTGCTTTGAGCTGGCCGCGCATAGAGGGTTGTAAGTAATAAGCATAAACGCTCATTGGACCCCGGGCGCCATTTTCAGTTGAGGCAGAGACAGGTCAGTCAGCGTCAGGCGGCCCGAGGCCTGAACCCGGCGAGAAGGGCATATTAGCTCAGCACGTCACACAAGGGGCCGCCAAGACAAAAAGAACGCCGACAAGAGCGGAGAATTGCGTACAGGGCGAGGCTCTGCAGAGGTACGGTGGATGGTTCCTCAGAACGATTAAAAAAAGGGCTGCACCGACCAGTCGAGAACGTGATGAAGGGCGTCTCAGGCCCTGAGTGGCAGGTTACAAGCCTGTTTTTGGTAGACATTTTTTTTTAGAATGTCAACTTACCGACCCGATTAGTTTCCTGAGATAACCCTTCCTGTTTCCAGTGCCCTGGTTCTGTGCACGATGAACCGGCTGCCCCGACCAACGAGCATACACGAGATGAGTAGGATGTAGGTGTAGGACCGCGCGCGCAACGGAGGCAAACGACCCTGTTATCGGCCAATATAGCAATTTCTCCCAAGTCTGAACGTATGGGCTTACACCGAAGCACAGAGTATGATATATAATACAGTAAAAGATATGATAATATCACCCTACCACTAGCCCTAACCCTAACCCCTACCCCACCCTAACCTTAACCAACCCTAACCTGCTAGATGGGATCCTAACCAGTACCGTAACACATGGACGCAGTTTGCCTCCGTACCCAACGTACATCCGTCGCACCGTCGGCTTCTTCATTCCTAAAAGCGCCATGCTGGAATGGGCAGCCAAGCAAGTCCAGTCGGGAGCGGCAGATCGAGAACCGGGTTTCAAGGGACTGGCGCAGAACGTCGATTATATGGATGTGGTGACGGATATGTACTTCAACCGTTGGCTCACCTTCAAACTTGGCTGGGGCCACGGTTGCACAAAAGGCAACAAGTACATCGCAGCATTGTCGAATCAACGGCCAGGCAAGAAAGATTCCGAGGCCGTAATTATCCGTCGCATTGTCTGGATCGGGTACGGGCCCGACAGATTCCGCAAGTTGGACGAGGAGATGTTCGACACCTTGCAGGCCGAGGGGTTCAAGGACATCATGTTCGCCTCGCTGGATCCATCTGGAGCGGAGGGAGTTGACTCGCCAATAGCCAGAGGGAAGGAGCGCCTGAATATCTTGCGTAAAACCGAGGTGCGTACCTGTTATCGTTTTGCTTTCACGCCAGCTGATATGGTGTTTCAAGGGTTATCCTGTAGCAGACGACTTATAGTGAAGACTGCGGCTTAGAGAAGGTCGACAACAAGACCAAGGCGCAGTGCCTCGCCCAGATGGTTTTGTATATTGGCTCCCTACGTCAGAAGAGGGCGATCAACGGATTTCAAGAGTACCTCGTAGTGGCACAGTAACAGTCGTCTACAACCGAGAGGGTGTGCTCATTCACGAGATGATTCAGCAACGGACGAGTTCTACCAGCACCTCCAGGACCTCCTTGACGTTGCTCTCCACCAGATTCCGTTGTAATGAGACTTGTTTGTGCCTGCAGCACATAAAGTTCATGATGTCTAGCTAAGTAGGGCTAGAATAATCAAATCCCGATACGGTGTGCCTCGCTTTGGTGACAAAGTAAGCAACTTCAGCCAGCTTCTGTGCCTTTGAGTTTGAGCGGCTGGCCTCGGGCACCCCCCTTCCTCAGCGCTCTCTATCTATCCACGCGCGCACCCGGTGGCAGGTTACAGGCATGTTTTTGGTGGAGATGACAAAAATGTTGATCGTCAAGTTGCCGTAGTAAACTAGTATTGTTTCCTAGGCTAGCTCTTCCTTTGCGCAGTTTCCTCCTGTGCACGACGATCGAGAGACCTCACCCTGATGGGCACTCGGCGCCATTCCCGGCCAATCTCTCAATATCCAACATTAAGCACTTCCCCATACCGGTGTACAATACACAAATGCTACGAATCCATAGCCGTAGTCCTCTCCTCACACCCCCTCGCCGCCCTCGCATTCCCCACCGCTCCAGCCACACTGGTCAAAGTATTCCCGGTCCAATACGCTGCTCTCACCTGCATCGCCTGCTCTACAAGGCTGAGGAAATCGGTGAACAGGGCTTGGGGGCCTAGGAGCTGCCTGTCCTCGGCTGTTAGGAGGTCGGGGAGGAGGACGGCCCCCGCTCGCCGGAGCTTGGCTAGATGTGAGGGGGAACGCTCGTCTGTCGCTAGATAGAAGGAGTCTCCCTCCCCAGGTGGGTCGGTAGAGGACCAATAGAGGTTGGGGAGGACGTCGGCTACGGGAGGGAGATGGAAGTCTTGCCATCTTGTAGTGGAGAGGGAGGTGAGCAGCGCTCGCCCACGTGAGAGGGAGTTCTGGATCCGCTGGAGGTGCTGCTCTAGCGCTGGCGTTTGGGTCCAGGAGAACGTCGTGACTACAAACCATACGCGGGAGAGTCAGTACATCCCAATTCACTACTGTAACTGGGGAGGAAAGAGCATACAGTCCCCACGCCGCATATGAGCGGCCATCCACATCCTCCCACCCGTTCTGGTGAGCATACGCTCCGCTAGGCGGTCAGCGACGACGTCGACCGAAGGCGGGAAGCGCATCGTATAGAGGACGAGGCGGGCGTAGGCGTCTCTCGCTTCGGAGGCATGGAACCACATACTGCCCTAGGTAGAATAAGTGAGCATCGTTCCCGCAAGGGAGGGGGGACGTACAGGTCTTCGCTGATTATGCACTTCTCCCTGTAACCATACGACTTCCCCCTCCCCCTCCTCCCCGGGAAGCGAATAATCCTCCACCCACCCTCTCGCTTCCCTACGTCTCACAAACGCCTTGTACGGCGCTGTGAGTCGTTTACTCAGATCAGACGCGCGCAGGTGGTATGAATACACAGGGATGAGGTCGTACGGCTGCACAATCCTGATGAGGGTTTCGTCTGAGCTGGGATCGGGTGCTGGGGAGAGAGAGAGGACGCGGTTGACGACGTCTTGCACGCTATTCCACGCTAGGAGGTGCGTCCCGCTCCTCATCCTATCGAGTTCCTCCCGCAGGCTCTCGTTCCGCTCCTCCTCGGTCTGCGGAGGCAGCCGATCCAGCCGGAGGAACGAAGCCGGGTCGTATTCCTCGTTCGGGATACTGAGTAGCCCAACCCCTGGGAGGAGGTAGGAAGTGTCGAATTGTCCATCAGCTCTCTCTAGGCTTGGGGATAGCCCTTGCAGTGCTAGGAACTGGGAAAGGGTGATGACTGCTTCCGAGGGAGGGAGGCGGAACATCGTCTACCATGCAAACCCAATCAGCAAGTCCGCGAGTGCTTATACAGCAAAAGGGGGCATACGGAGACAGGCACGCGCCAGGCTTGCCTCTCTTCTTCTGGGTAGCGGAGGAACTCGTCCGATCCGGAAACAGTTCTGTCAACTTGCTGGGCGTAGGCGCCACATACTTCTCTGAACAGCGAACGGTGTTAGGTTTGCCTACGGGGAGGCGCGAGACGCACAGGGGGAAGTCACAAGATCGGAGGTAGACAAAACTTGGTAGTACGAGAGTCCGGTTCAGCAGCTGGGCCTGGTTGAGAGAAGTCTCGATTATATATTTCATCTGTGTGATGTTAGCTGAAATATCTTCCTAGCATGAGTGGGAAGGGCACACGTTGTTCCACCCTAGCCAGAGACTCCAGTCTCGTACGAAGAACCCCTGTGTCTGCTCTACGATTTGGCGCACTTCGGCGAGGGCGCGGTCCAGCGCATGTCGTTCTTCTAGCGCTCTTGGGGGTTGCACAGAAGGACAGAGCGGGAAGGTGTCGTTCGTTCCTCCCTCGGTGGCAGTGAGGTGTTGATTCCCTATCCCATTTCCTACGATGTTCCTAAACTTTGTCTTGCTTGATTTCTTGAGGATATGGTGCTGATGAGGCAGAAAATGAGCGAGAGAGAGAACGAGTAAGAGCAAGAGGAGGAATGGTAAGATGAGCAATAAGCGTGCAGTTATTCTCCTTGGGGACATTGCGCACGTCGAGTGCAGGTGATATAAGGTGTTGGAGTGTTATTGTTATATTCCCATGATGCTGTCGTATGCCCGCACAGGAAAGGAGAATTATGGTCCATATTCGGTGGCTTGGCTTTGATGAACGACGCGTGCTTCGAACACTTTTAGCGTCAACAAGCTTGGCAGGGTCCACCTTATCTTTCTCGTACACTGCTGACTTCTACCATCATCTCCAGCTCATCATCAACATCATAAGCCATTTGCATAATGGGTGAGTGCATCTCCTTTTCATTCAACATGATGAGTCCTTGTTCCCTATTACATGACCTGCATTACAGCAGAAGGATTCAAACACGGGTGTTCACCTCTATCCTCTCCTTCTCACACAAGCTGACCGCTTTCCAGATATGACACGATCCAAGCGGTCCCAGGCCTTAGATACATTTTCAATAATCTATCATCTGTCACTCGCAACCATTTTGCACGCATATGCATACCACTGTCCCCACCGAGTTGAGCCGAAATCCTTACAGCTCGTCCTTCTCCGGAGCGCGGTTCTTGATCCCCAACAGCTCCACATCAAACACCAGCGTTGCCCCTCCCGGAATCTTCGCCCCAGCGCCCCTCGAACCTACCAATCCTCAGCCCCTCTAATCCAAGGATCATGCAGAAAGAAGTTGACGTACCATAAGCCATATTAGCGGGGATCGTCAGCCTGCGACGCTCGGTTATGCACATGTCTTTGAGCCCTTCTTCCCAACCTTTGATCACTCGGCCTTGCCCCACTATGTACATCCATCAGTATCCGGTGTGGTGTTCAAGCCCCTGTATTGGATGGGAGGAAACGTACGTGTAAATTGGAAGGGAGAGTTCCGATCGCGCGAACTGTCGAACTTGTTCCCGTTGCTGGCTAACGTGCCGGTCTATCCAAGCTCAGCACTTTGCCACCACACCAATACGTTCCCAATCATATGCAACGTTCCCCGAAAGATACACCAGAAGCAGAGTAGGAGGATAATAGGACACGCACATAGTGCATACTCATTGCATCCCCATTCCTGCTCTGGATCGGGCATTCCTCAGGCTTGAAAATCACATCAATTTTGAGTTCGTCCACCTGCCCCGGCTCGCCAGGTTGGGCCAGGACAGAGCTGAATAAGACGAGAAGGGAAAGGAGCGGGAGGAGGGAGAACTGCATGCTGGGTCGTTGGGTCGTTGAGGTATGGAGCTGGGGACGCGACGTGTCTATCGGCCTTAAATTGGGCTTATGGCCGATACGGCACAGCCCCCCAATCCGTGAGGGAAAGTCAAAACTGTACAGTTCCAGCGGGGGCAAATTCATACGCCAGGGCTGCTCGCCTGCCTTGCAGACGTTGTGCTCGCCATCGACCTCGACATCCTCTCGCACTTATCGACAGCTTCGAGGAACATAATGGTGCGTCTCCTTTGAGAGTTAGAGGAGGCCGACAACGAGCCCAGTCAGGAGCTCGGCTCTCCTCCCCGAACCCTCCTCCCCCCTGCTGAAAACCGGTGCTAATCTCCCCCGCAGCCCTCCCAAAAGACTTTCCGCGTCAAGCAAAAGCTTGCCAAAGCTGCCCGCCAAAACCGGCCGATACCACAGTGGTTCCGCCTGAAGAGCGACACCAAGATCCAGGTAAGTCCGTTTCCTCCCCAACACCTACTGGGGCTTGTTCGCACCGGTGCTGATTTTCGGGTAGTATAACGCTAAGAGGAGGCATTGGAGGCGGACGAAGCTGAACCTCTGATCTATCTCTCGCTTGCTTGCGTTCGACCTGCGCCAGACGGACGGGAGCTGGAGAGGGATGTGCTGGAGCATTCAGAGAGACACAGAGATGTACGGGCTTTTCTGTCCGATGTGGTGTATGGTACGAGGATGATATGATCATGCCATGCTTGCCATGCCTTGTGTTTTGCTGGGACGTGGAATGTGGGTGATGTTGTGAGAGTAAGAGCTGGTGGGAGCTGGGGCGAGTGTTTGAATATTGAGTGTTGGACGCTCAGTTCGACGAGGTTCCCCAATGTACTTTCTTGTGGTGCTCTGGACGGACCTAGCTGCCTGTCAAGCTGGTCTTAGCGCGGCTCTCGATGGACTTTTGAGCTTCGACAAGCACGGTTTAGGCCGTGTCACGCTCGGTAGTGATTTGCCCACAACCACCGTTGACGATTCACACCTCACGCTCAACACAATAAACAGAGCAGGGAGGGTCATACACTGGATTACACCATTTACATATAGAACAGAATCCATCCGATGAGAGACCAGACGGACAGGGCATCCTACACCCTGGCTCAACGAGTATACACAAAGAAAACGTTCCTGGCCACAAGTCAGTGATGAGCATTCACAGCTGGACAAAACACTCACTCCCTATCAGTCAAGTCGAGGAATGCCGCCTTCTCCCGCTCGCGTTCCACGTCCTCCTCCGTCCATCCTTTCTCCTGCTTAAGCTTCTCCAGCTGCATCCGTTTCTCCCTGTTCCAGCGCACGTTCACATACGCCATGGCCACACCACAGAACATCATAATAGCCGTAAGGACGACGATGGCAGCCTTGCCCTGTATATACCCGGGGGCGTTGGCAGGGAGGAAGATGTACGTGCCTACGACGGAGCCGACACCGAACGTGAAAAGCGTGAAGGAGTTGACGGTGACTTTCTTCGTGTGACCTCCGGTGTTGCTCGCGTTCCAGGCATAACAGAGCGGGAACCCGGGGGCGGAGAGGTTCTGAAACAGCTGGGCGAACTGGAGCACACCACGCTGCCCGGAGTATTGCATCGTCGTCATGATGATCATACCAATGAGCGTAGGGAGCGTAAAGATGATGATGAGCGTCATGCGGTCGTTGATTCGGTCCGAAAGCCACCCTACAGCGACCACTGCGAACCCGCCTATAGCGGCGCGGGGCATGTCGAGCAGCAATGACTGGCGAGACGTCCACCCAAAGCTCTTGGTAATGATGTTGCTGAAAGCGGAGTTGCCCCCGTTGGGGATGCCGATGCACATGATGATGAGGAACATGATCCACGTGCGGATATCCCTGAACGTCTCGATAATCTGGTACTTCTTGATATGCTTGTTGTGCGTGCCACCCTGGTCGAGCCGGACACGCTCGAGCGCGGCGATCCTCTCCTCCTCGCTGAGGAAACGGGCAGTGATGGGCGAGTCGGGCAACCAGGCTACGACGATGATGCCGCATGTGATGGCCAGAGCGCCGAGAACGAGATATAGTAGCTTCCAGGCGTCGATGGCGCCTTCGTAGAAGGTGATGCCGTATGCGACTCCTCCGCCCACGACGGAAGTGCTGAGGTTTCCGGCATAGAACCAGCCGATACGTGTTGCGCGCTCGTTCTGCTTGTACCACATGGTCACGATGAGGATTAGTGTTGGAGAGACGCACGCTTCCAGGACACCGAGGAAGAAGCGAAGGGCGTAGAACCCGGAAAAGTTGTAGCACACCGCGTGCAGCATCACAGATCCTCCCCACACGATGATATGGGCGCCTAGATACTTAGCCAAGGGAAATTTCTGGGCCAGATACTGGGTCGGAAACATCCAGACTAGAAAGCCCATGTAGAACGCTTGGGCCACGTCGTTGTACCAGATGCCCGTCACGGGGAAGCCCATGATACTCGCATATGAGAGGATATTCTTGTCCAAGAACTGAGATTGCACATCAGAAAAGCTCACCATCCGATCGGAAAAGAAATGTACCTGCGTGAAGTACACGAAGACAAGGATAGGCATGATGTGCCAATCCTGCAAATTGTGAGTCATCCATCGCGTATGTTCGCGTTTGTAGCGCTCACGATCTTCCGACGAAGTCGAGCATAGTATTTATCATCGAATTGGTGTACATGAGTACCCACGAGCTTCAGGGCGTCATCACCGTCAGCGGTCTCGACTTCACTGGCCTCGTCCAGGACCGGCAGTGCTGCCACCGCTGCCTCCGCGTCGACGAATATTTTCTCCTCGTCCTCCATCGGTGCGATAGGTGACGGTGGCACCTGGGTCATCTTGACAAAACCAAAGATCCAGACTCAAGAACACAGATGAACAGTTGCGTTCCTTAATAATCTTTGTTGCCTGTAGCTTATATATGCCAATGCCGCCAAAGGACAAGAAACATCGACCTTCCATTCTCCTGAAGGATTCCGCTGGAAATGTATGTACATCCATTTCCAACCGTTGCTATCATTGTCGCCAAGAGTTACTTGAAGAGGGAGAGTGCGCCATATGCAGCTAGGAGATACAAGGCCATGTATTCAGCAATGTTGAGAAGCAAAGAAGCAGACCCGCGTGATAAACAGCTGACACACGTGAAAGAGTTTGATCATCATTCACTGAGGCTTGGCGGCTTTTATCGCAGTCCTTGCAAAACCCGGCACAATTAAATCTGGACGTGCGATCAACTGATGGATTTGACGTCGACCCTTTATTCAAGCTTGGCGTTAGGCACTCAAAACGATCGCCATCATCGTTCTGCTTGAAGACGCCACGAGAGTCAACGGAATTGCTCCACGAAAGACCGACGATAAGGATAGCTGCTGCCTGATTTTCTCAGTACCGAGCTTCGGATTTGATTGCTGTCGAAAGCTAACTGTTGTATCTTTGGGTGCAAACCCTCTCGAGCTGTACTTATGCTCATGGCCTCGCTTTGTTGATTATCCCAGACTGCCGCGTTTCTCCATCTCATCGGGAGCGCCTGCTATGCAATCGCATATTCACGATTCTCTTGTGATATCTATAAGGCGGTTGGCAAGAAGAAAACGCTCGGAAAATCGATTTGAGTCTCTTTCGCGGGTAACTGAATGGCCTTCACTATGTCCCCGAGGTGCGATATAGTCATGCGGGAGCTGATCAAGGGGAACCGCATGTGACGGCTGAACTTACTTCAAGAGTGGGGATGGCACAAAGGACCGCGGATCCTCGTGGTATGTCGGAAAATGAGCGACTCGACAGCTGACGGTGATGTTTCTCGTGTATTTGGATGAGAACCTGTGATAACGTCAGCAGCGAGCGTTCAAACTTCTCCAGAGGTCTCGAGGTAATACCACTATTGTTGATTGACTAGAGGGTGTTGATGGTTGTAACCAGGCATATGCTCCTGGTTCGCCCCGCAAACCCTGTTGTTGTACCTTTCTCATTGTCAGGTCGCACTATATCTGCCAAGACAAGTGTTTCAATTTTCCCTGGTCCTGCCTCTGGGGCTCGCGGTGCTATGAAGAAAAGGCAACCGGAATCCGACTGAATCCCCACCCTGGTTCACTATTCCTGATCTGTCGTTATCAGCCCAGTTGGCGCTTATCGGAGTAGGTTGCACTGAGGCGGCTTGGCTTCCTTGGCAGTCTCCATTCGTCAGTACCTTTCAGGTCAAGGGGGAGTTGCTCTCCCCTCTCCTTGTCTCGTGTCTCAAGTAACCCAGACTAAAATCAGAAACAAATCTGTCACTCAGGTCCCTTTCTCCTGCGCTGCCGGGCACGTCCTGCGCTGCTTCACAGAAAAGAAGGAACCTCGCACGAACTGACGCACCTTGGACAGCCGCCTTCTGAACCTAGCCTCCTGTCCTCTCCGGTGCGCATTCTTATCACCACCTACTAAGCGAAGCGCATGGTTTCGTTGAAAACTACAGCACCTTAATCGCCCACCGAAGAGGCAAGAACTGGTTCGTCACGTGCTTCTTGGCGGAAAACATGACCTCCTCCTATGGAACCCAACACCTCTCATCACGCATCTTTATCGAGAGACCTATTCGCATTGAAACACATCGTACATGAAAGAACCAACCCTTACTCTACACTGCACATCAAATCCAGAAACGAAGGATAGTGCCCATCCCAAGCCCTTGTGATATTCACTCCTTCCTGCCAGTTAAGCCGCTATATCATCTCGTTCAATGCAATTCGCCCCATTAATCCAAGCGAACACCCCCGTTTGACTTACACAGTGCTCCTTGCGCCCTCGGTGCCCCTCGAGTTGATCCAATTCTCCGGCTTGAACCCCGACGTCTTCGGGCCGAGCCCGCGACGCAGGATCCACTCCTTGCTGGTGTACTCGGGCTCAACCACGTCGCTCTTCGGCTGTTGTTCAACGAGTCCGCCCTCCAAACGGCGCATGACGACGTCGTCCTCCGGGCGGGAGAAGTATACCAACGAGTACCGCGTCTCATTTGCTTGCTTGCCAGGAGGGTTGAGCACGCGGTGCATGTTGCTCCGGAGCAGCCCGCCAGAGAACTTGACCATCGCGTCGCCGAGGTTGATGATCGCGCAGCCCGGGATGGGGCGGACGTACACCCACTCCTTCGATCCAGGGAGCTGGACCTGCAGACCTCCGAGCCAGTTGAAGAGGATGGTGAGCGAGCCAAAGTCAGTGTGTTCCGCCGCTGTCTGGTCGGAATTACCCTCTCCCCTAGCCGGAGCACGGATGAACCGCACGTGGTCGCCCGAGAGCGCATGCAGGCGATGCATGTTCTCGAGCGAGCCTGGGGGGAGCTGGAGCGACTCGTTAAGCAGCTGGAGCATAAGTATGCCCTGCTTCTGCGCATTGAGTACAAAGGAGCGCAGGAGAGGGAAGTTATCCTTGATCAGCTGGGGAGCAGCGAGCGGCGTGCAGTTCCCGACGATGTCGTCCTTTTTGATCTGGCAATCTACTGGTCAGAATCATGATCTTTGGAAGGCTTGGCAGGGGCGACGAAGCGTGATGCCAAGCGACAAGGATCGACGTACGGTATAGTTTTCGTGCCTTTCCGGCGTTCCCTTGCTGTCCATCACAGCGCTTCCAATCTTCTTCCAGCCGTAGTATCCCGAGCCTCCCTCGACAGTATCGCGATCGCAAATAGCTTTTTCCTCATCGGGCATGGCGAAGAAGCGCTTCTCCAAGTCCAGAAGCTGCTGGGCGTCAGAGAACAGTTGCTTTCCCTCGGTGCACCCGGTAAGGTTGAGGTAGAAGAAACCGAGCTCCTTAGCGCACTTCAGCAGAGCTGCCTGCTCGGCCGGGTCGTGTTCCTGGAGCTTGGACAGGTGGAGGGTAACGAGAGGCGCTGTGGTGAGGTGATCGGGGAAAGGAGGCAGGGAAGCCCAAGCCGGGGAAGCAGGAACGTCACCCATGTTGTTGTCTGACTGTATGTGGTATTAGGGGTAGCTGGGCTTCGTATACCTTGGCGAAAGGAAGATGGTTGATGGGGCGGGAGGCGGGGTGTGGAGGAGGACGTCCACCAGGTCGAGTATAAGTAGGCGTCGGCACCCTCCACCCGCCTTATGCTCACCATCGCCGCCTCAAAGTTCCGCCTGACCCCTGCAAAAATAGTCAGTGAACGGACAGATAAAGCCGCTTAGTCGGCATCGTGGTACGACTTGATGCAAATATTACAGAGCGCCGGGAGGTTGAGGGATTACAGATTGGACAGCAGGAAAATGAATTGGGAAACAGATCCATGCGGGGGAGAAAGCGGGGGTTGCAGGGCCGGCCGGCGCGCTCATCGGCCGCTTCTCCCCGGCCTGTTGCTTCCCTTTGAGTGGCATGTGGACAAAGAATTGAATTGTCCCACTCTGCCGCGTCGGCGCGCCAAAAGGTGGAGGGGCGGGGTGGAGGTGGATCGTCCGCCCTCTCTCGCTCCCGCCGTGGCGATCACCGTACCGACGCCAGGAAAGTTCGGGTATTTCTGGCTCATTCTAGGCGTTACAGACGTCCGCGGAACGGAGGGGTGAGAAGACAGAAGACGTTCCCGCCCGCTGCCGACTTCTGCTGACACATTTCCTTGTGCGAGTCTGTTTGATAATTGTATTTCCGAGTATTCTACATTGCATGGTCATCTAGATAAGAATTCTAGATATCCCACCAAGAGGACATCGATGATTATTCACGGAAGCCTAGTAGACTAACCCTGTGACCCATCCCTCTAACGTACGCCTCCATCTAAAGATCAAGGAAGACTGGGGCCCCACACGGCATCCCCTTCTCCTGACGGCATATGCTCAGGATCTTCCGTTCCGTGCCAGGGTCTGCAGGTTCCTCCCCGTGGCCAGATGAAGCGGATCTGCGGATCGCTTCGGCCGGCAGAGGGGCGACGCTTTCCTGACAGTCCAGTGCCAGTTGTTCATGTGTTCGGAGGGTTGGTCGTCCATCGACCGTGGAGTGGAGATGTCAACGACTCGGCGCAGCTCACCCCGTGTCCATAGTACCCCACGAGCTCTCAAACCACCCCCTTGCCCTAAACTCCACTTCAAACCCCTTCCCCAGCCCAGCATCAGCATAAGCCGAGCTCGCACGCGTGCTAGGACTGCTCGTCCCGGCCGGGGTCGTGCTTGTGGTGCGGGAGACGACAGACCCCCAGTCTTCGGTTCGCGACCAGAGGGAAGAGTGCTCCAACTTGCTATCGTTCGCTTTCTCCATATCCACATTCTTCTCCTCTTTCTCCCCATGCCGCTGCACCGGCCGGTCCTCGCAGTCCCCCTCCCCCACGTCCATTCCCACATACACATCCCCCCCTTCTCCCAAATCCAGATCCTCAGGTATCGTCCACTCGCTCACGAACGTCCTCTCCCTAAACTGGGACACCTCTCGCAGGCGTTTCCTATACGCCGCACGGCGGAGGTTGAGGTACAGCCTCGAGCAGAGGATGGAGGTCAGGCAGAGGGTCAGTCTGGGGTTCTGTTAGCCACTTCAGGAGGAGGAAGGGGAAAGGCCGCACTCGACCATTATACTGTAATAGGGCATGGATGCGAGTAGGGGAACGAGGACGTTGGTCAGCTATTCGCGATCAGCACTATATCATACCATACATGTAGCAGCCTCGTGCGACATACCAGCAAAACTAGTCTAATCAGCTCGGATCACGATACAAAGGGGATAGGCGTACAGAATATAACGACAAAGTACATGAACCCGTCTCTCGCCATGAGCCGGAGTACATCCGTTCTCACTCCCTCTCTTATGTGCCTCAGGATTATCAGTGCGCTAAGGAGGAAGAGCGTGCTTTCTAGCACGAGGCTGGGCAGCCAGATCGTCCAGAAGAGATGCTGGACTCCGCCTAGCAGGCAGCCTGTGACTTGGGCAGCGAGGGAGGGTTCGGGGTGGGTGGTGGATAGGCCGAGGGAGAGGAAGATGCACATCAGAGCGAGGGCGAAGAACCAGAGTAGGAGGAGGGGGAAGAGGATGCTCCTGTTGTTGAGGTAGAGAGCGGAGACGCGTAGCACCAGCATGACTAATCACGAACCGGGACGGGGTTAGGTTGCTAGAGAGACGGAGGGAGGGAGGAGGGCGAACCTTCGACAACAAGCATCCCGATAGGCACACTCCAGTTGTTGAACAACGTCCACCTCTCACAGGCTTCGGAGGACAAGCCAGCGTCGATATTCGCGATATTGCAGAGCGCGGCTTGGAGGAGCACGCCGTACCGGTCGAGGAAGTACAACAAAGTGAGAAAGGTTGGTCTGCGGGCGGAGATCGTTTGCCCTATCCGGGCGAGGGGGGATTGAGCAGGTGCGGAACAGGTGCGGGGGGGTGAAAGCCATATGTAGGTGATTTCCGCTGGCAGGGTGAGGAGGATATCGTATGCCACCAGACAGGTTGCAGCCATCGCTATCCAGTTACTTAGACCTGCGGGATATTAGTTTCTGTGATAGGATGAGATGAGATGGGAGGGGACGGACGCATGATGTATAGCGCTTGGAGGATAGTGCCTGTCCATGATGGGCCTGGCCCGAGGCCGTCTGCCATCGTTCACTGTAAGTTGTAACCAGCCAAACAGTTTTCGATGAAAGAGACGAGGTGTGCCAGAGGGATGGCGGCGTTGTTAAAGAGTTTTGGAATTGTGGTCGTTTTGGATAAACTGCCTCTTAGGGCACCAGTCTTGCAGCAGATAGTAGGTTAGCGTGACCGGGGAGTTCGGGGAGGTGCACCAGTACTAGTGGCCAGTTGCAGTCTAAGCGAAGGCTTTTGACTCTTCCGTGTCTCACAACCTCGGCTACGGCACCCGAGGCAAATTTGACCACTTGGCAGGTTCACACAAGAGAATAAGTTTGAGAGGAGTGTTAAGTGTAGCAATAGAAAGGATATAGAGTACGACACTCAACCTGGAGTTGTCAGGAGTTTCTCCGTAGAACATGATGAGCGCCCCGGATGACGCTGTCTATTCAAATTGAACTCAATCAAGGGTTCTAGCCTCAGCCTGATACGAATGGCGACATTCATTTACCATGTGAAGTGAAGAAGGATAAAACCCCCTTAAACAGCAACGTTTTGTCCAAGTGTATCACCATTAGGAGGGAATCGAGACCAATGTGGCAAGATCCGGAGAGGAGATCGGAGACTGGACCAGGAGCAGCTGGCGGCGTCCCCTGATTCTTTTCTAATATTTCTTAGCAAATGTATACAATTCACCCGGAGATAATCCGCGAATGTATTCATGAAACAGGAGTACAGGAGTAAAAGTACATATACATCTAGCGGCTGCTCACTGGGAGGGTTGGTTTCTAACCACAAAGCTTTCAGCCCATATGCATGTCCGAGCTTCCAGAACGAACATCTGTCTGTTATATCCTTCCTCGAAACCTCTCTCTCGTCTCTCTTCTCTTATCTCAGCGCTCACCATTCAGCGCCTAGCAGCTCCTTATGCAGCCAGCTCGAATCTCGGGCTGGGCGACTCCGACACTGCCTACCTAGCCCCGGCCACCATCAGTCCCATGCACCCAATCCAACAACCCCATAACCCCAAAGTTCTTCACAAACATCTCATGGTGGTAATCATGAAACCTCGCTACGCCGACCCACTTGACGTTCCCCATTCGCTTGGACTTGTACTTCCTGTCGGTGTCGGTGTCGAACTCGGGCTTGGGATCGGGCATGGACTTCGTTGACTGGGGCTGGACATGCTGGTCGGACTCGGTCTTCGCACTGGTCGCAATCCTAGGCTCTGTAACGCCCAACCCCAACAACGGACGAATACACCCCTCCCCCAAGCGCAACACCGTCCCCAAATTCGGCACAAACTCATATCCCGAATGAACAGTCGCCGTCTCCACCAACTCGAGTGCCAAAAACGTCCACCAAACGAGAATGTGCGTCCTGAGCAGTACAGGGCCCGCCAGGATCGGGATGATGTTCGCTAGGAGGTGTTCCAGCGGGTGGGCGTATTGCGCGCTTAGGGAGATGGGCGCGGTGAAGAGATGATGTTGTTTGTGGATGCGTTTGTAGAGGGTTGGGGTGTGAAGCAGCCGGTGGGAGTAGTAGAACAGCAGTTCGCGGAGAAGGAGGGAGAGGGTGATGTCCTTCACGAACCTGGTGAAGGGGGGGATATGCGGGGTGACTTCGAACGGCGGGGGCAGGTCGAAGGTTACGGTAATGACGTGCATCCCCAGCCCGAGAGGGAGCGCAACGAGCAAGTTGTTAACCGCGACAACCCTCAAGCACCTCACTACCTCAGAGGGGGAAACATGCTTTCCTGGCTGGATCTTCCATCTCTCGGCCCAGGAGGGGCGGGTGAGGTCGAGTAAGAGGTAGAGAAGGGCGGGGATGTAGAATGCGAGGAGCTGGAGGAGCTGGGTGCTTAGGAGTATGAGGGTGTTGGGGTTGGAAAGGGAGAGAGAGGAGAAGAGGTGTTGGACTGAGGGGGACATTGGGGGAGGGGGTGTGAGGAGGGCCAGGGAGGAGGAGGAGGAGGAGATCAGGGACTAAGCGCCCATGTTTCTCTCGAGGAGGGTCACATGAACATCCTCTTACCCGCATAAGCGGCTAACATGGAGTGCGTTGAGATATTCTGAGCTAGTACAGTACATGGCAACCTACTAACAACCCGTGAATCGGAGACTTGTATTTCCATTTCCTATCGTACACCCCGCACGGCTCTTAAGCTCCCAATTCTTCCCACAGTCCCCAATCTACCGTTCCCCAACCTTCTTAACCCCCGCAAAAACCCTCTCATTCCTGCTCCAAAACTCCAATACGACCCCCGCAGTCCTAGCCGGGTCATCTTCCTGCAAATGATGGCCCACACCGGGGATGACGACCAGCTGGAACTTTCCCTGCATCTGGCCTATCATCAGGGGCTTGTCGAGCCTTTCTGTACCTGCGAGGAGGAGGAGACGGGCGGTGCGGGCGGTGAGGAATCGGGAGGAGAGGTTGGTGAACCAGCCTTTTCAGTGAGGGGTGAGCAGGTGCTGGACTGGGCTCCCGTGGGGGAGGAGGGAGGGAGGACACACCTTCCCAGAAAGGCTCTGTTTTCTCTAACGGCGCTCTCCAGACCCAGCCCTGGTTATTCTGGCCAGGCACGAACAGGGGAGGGACGGAGATCCGCGCGGACTGGACGTTGCGCAGGGTGTTGTTTTTCACGCTGTGTGCAGTGAGCTGGGGAGGGTTGAGGAGAGGGAGCTGGGACGTACTGCCATTGGATTGCTGCCTCTAAGCTGGGGAACCCGGGAGGACGGGTTAGCAGCAGACTGCGCATATGGGGCAAGGCTTCCAGTGCTGTCCCTACATACCAAACCAGACCAAACCAAACCGAATCCAGGGTTGAGCCAACGCACCCTACGCAGAAGACAGAGCTGACCTTCGACAACATCCAGCACCCCTATGCCTGTTACCTGATACCCCTTTTCGAGGAGCTCGTCCAGTACTCCCAGGACGACAGAAGCGCCCATCGAGTGCCCGAGGAGGACGAGGCTAGGTGCCTGGGAAGGGGAAGGGAAGAGGGTTGTGAGCAGGGTTAGGAGGTCTTTTGACAGGTCGGGCTGGGAGAGTAGGAGGTCGCCTTCTTCCGACGAGGAGGTGGAACGGGTTTTCCCTGTTTGAGTTTGCGTGAGGGGGGGAGGAGACAGGAGAGGGAGGGAAGGCGGCTCACCATGCCCTCTACAGTCTGCGGCTAGGACACCACATTCCCCCTTACTCTGTACCCCGACTTCCCGTGCGAAACTCGCAAAGCTCAACGCTCCACTCCCGGCTCCATGATGCGCGACCACGAGTGCTCCGTTCCCCCCCTCAGGGCCGATGAGGGCAGGGGTGTAGTATAGCCTGACATCGAGTTCCCGGGAAGGGAGGAGGAGGGAGAGCGATTGGTCGAAGTAGCCTTCTGCGCTTAAGGGGGTGTAGTCTACTGGTGTACGGGAACGGTGTGTGAGGCGGGGGAGGGCGTTACTCCTCGTTCATTCATTGTCAGATTAAAGTATGTATAGAGGTGAGGATACAGACACACAGGTTAGGAAGGTCCCCAATGCCAGCTTCGTCGTCCATCTCCTCATCAACGTCTCCCTCTCTCTCTCCTTTTTCCCCTGCACCCATGCCCGTGCTTGTACTCATATCCACATCCTCCTCTTGAGTCGCTCGGGTATCCCATGGTGGCAAGTCTGGTAGTTTTGAAATCCGAGCACGGAGTGCGCTGCGGTAGAGGTCGTGTGCCATGTTGGCTGTCCTGTGAACAGTTGTCACTTGTAGCTGCGACCGACAGGGACGGTCAGCGTCGGGTCTAAGCGTCGGCGTTTAGGCTGGACCCTTATGAGTAATGCCCACACTGGCACTCCTCGACATTGTCACCAACGTTCACTGAAATGCCCCTCCCACCAGTATTATACCACATCTTCCCACTTCCCATACCTTACCTCCCCACTCTCGCACTCCAGAACAGCATCCACCACCTCCAGCTCAACCTGCGCAAGTCTACCCAGGACAACCCAGACATCCTCCTGCTGCTACAGCACACACCGGTCTATACCGCCGGAAGGCGAGAAGTAGAGGTCAAGGAGCTTGAAGCGGCACGACTGAAATCTGCTGGTGCGGACTGGGTAAAGAGCGATCGGGGTGGGCTGACGACGTTTCACGGCCCAGGGCAGGTCGTAGGCTACCCGTTGTGGGATATCGGTCGGATAGGGGTACGCTCTTCCTCCGCCTACTGCTTCTTCTCCTTCTCCTTCTCCTTCTTCTGCTTCTGCTACTGTGCATACTGAGTCAGGGGACTAGATGTCAGCAAGATGCTACGTGAACAACGTCGAGTCCTCCCTACGTGACTACCTCCAGCAAACCTTCTCTCTCCGAACCCTAGACCCCTCCCCCTCCCCAGGCCTCTTCACCACTCCAGAACGGAAGATTGCCTCCCTAGGCATCTCCGTCCGTCACCGGCTGACAGCACACGGGTTCTCGTTAAACGTACTGCATGAGCCTGTACGGTGGTTTGACCAGGTTGTAGCGTGCGGGCTAGAGGGCGTAGGAGCGACGAGTGTGCAGGATGAGCTGCCTAGCGCTGGCCTGGGGGAAGGGGGGATGACAGGGGTGGCGGAGGGGATAGCAACTGCGTTTGGCGGGAGGTTTGGGAGAAGCATGCAGCGGCTTGATTTGGATGTGCTGGGCGGGCTGGAGGGGGGGACGAAGGTCCGGCAGGAGTTGGAGCTGCTGGAGAGGGAGGGGAGGAGGGAGTGGTTGAGGGAGCCTTTGGTTTGATGACTGTGTCTGTTTGGGTGCTCCTGGGATGTGCGCTGCGGTTAGCTGGACGTGGAACACCTGGGATGAGGGCGGTTAGTTGGCAGTCTTGAATTCCTCTGCGAGTAGAGGAGTCGTTGTTTAATCAACCGGCTGCTGGTGTACTGTATATACGCCAAACAAAAGAAGCGAGCCTGTCTAATCCGCGATTCTAGCAAGAGCACAATCACTCCCCAGACCAGTACTCACACGACCACAACAACCCCACACAAAATAACCCTGCATGGCCTCAATTGTGGAACAAACTTACAGACCCGGTCGAACACCGGGGGCTCAGGTCGGATAGGACTCTCCTCGACCTGAGCTGAATGCTCATGCTCGTCCGTGTCCCGATGGTAGTCTCAAGAGGGCGGAGATACTTATTCCAGGGAGATGTCATTCGAAAGGTAGTTGGGCATGGGGGTGGGAGCCAAAAGATCATGAGCTCGAATTCGCCCAGTCCTCTCCTCAGAGACATTACCGTGCACCAGCTCGCACAGCGCAGAAGCCGTCAGACGCGAAACGAAATGGAAATGCATGCCATGACATATAGAGCACACGACTCTGACTCGGCTCTATAGCTAGTGTGTCCCCTCCATCGACCTGTAGAGGCTCTTTTCCCCGACTGACTCCGGCTCTCGAAGGCCGCGACGGGTATGTGGATGCGTTTATCGGTTCTGTCAAAAGTTCAGCGTCCGCAGACAGAGAGGACATTGTTTAAAATGGGGGAGGGATGAGATGCAGAGCCGTACAAAGCAAGCACACCACCCCAACTCCAACCAAAGTCGAAACGCACCTTTACAAACCCGATATCCTTCGACTTCTCCCTAAAACACTGCCTGCAAATGTCCAGTCCATACTTGCGTATCAAACCTGCCTGATGGGCGCAGACGCGGCTGTTCACGCATCACGCATCCGGTGGTTAGTCCTCACTCAGGGTGTGGGTGAGAGAAGGACATACCATTGCCTGCTGCCTTTGCCGTACTTGCGAGGCCTGGAAAACCAAACGGAGTCGTGTGTCATCTACCCGCTGCTAGTCAGCAAGAGCGACTTGGAGAAGGAGAGGGATACGCACCTTTGTCGATTGATGAGTGCCAGACGGTGAGCGCGGGTGGTAGAGAGGACAGGGAAAGATAGAGCGGGAGCAAAAGAGGGTGGGCGTGGTACTGTACAGTTTTGATTTGGGCGTCGGGGTTAGAGGATAGGGTCTGGCGGGTAACGCCGATATCACGTTTGGGACAGGACGGACGACGAGGAGCATGCTTTGGACGACGAGGACGATGCTGAAGACGACGAGGACGACGAGTATGCTGACGATTGCCCTGAACACGCTCTTGCAACCAGGATGCCGCCGTCTCGCCCGGTCGATAACTACCGTCCGACCTCCCCCTCGCGGTCCACGCGCGCATCTCCGTTCCCCAGGCTTCGTCTCCCCATCACCCTCCCCATCCTTCCCAGCATCCCCTCCCCAGCCCAAACGCCGTCCCCGTTTCTCGCGAAACACCCCCCCTCCCCTTCCCTCCAGCCGCCGCTCTCTCCTCGGGCGTGACCCCCGCTCGATCCTAGTAACATTCCGCTCCATCTGGCCGAACGTGACTGTCTTCCCCCTCTGGGGCCCTGGACTCCCTGACACCGACTCGGGCCTGCCCTTCTCCCTCGACTTGCATAAGCCGCAACGGGTGGGCGAGTCTGGGTACCTTATGCGCGGAGTGCTCGACGCGGGGTCGTACAAGATTCGCGCGTTTGTCAAGGCTGCGGATACCAGGGCGGGGGATGCAGTTGGGCTGGCGCATAAGGCTGCGCTGGAGCGGGAGGCGGAGGTGTATGAGAGACTGAAGAGGGAGGACGAGACGCTCTGGGGGAACGTGGTGCCCTACCCTTATGGGCTTTACGCGGGAGAGGGGTTCATGTTGTTCATCATGTCCTATATCGGGCAGCCCCTTTCCCATCTGCAGAAGAGCCAAGAGTACGTCCGTATTTCATGAGGGAAATATGGTGGCTCATGTTTCACAGGGAGAGCGTGAGACTGCTTGTGGAGAAACTGCATGCGTGGGATGTGGTCCATGGGGATGTGAGGCCGCATCATGTGATACAGGAAAAGAAGGGACCGGTGAGGCTTGTGGATTTGCATAAGGCGAAGGGGCATGGGGAGGTTCTTGTGGGTGAGGAGAAGGACACTGCGAGTGTGGAAGAGGGAAGGAAGGAGATACAGGAGATGCAGGGCGAGCCTACGGGGGGGGATACCCTTATCACCACTACCCCGAACTCAGATTCAACCCCAGCCACGGAAAACGCATCTCCCAACCAGCCCAATCCTACCCCTCTTCCGCCAGCACCAGATTCGACGCCCGCTCCACCCTCAAAATCCTGCCCCGGCCCTCTCTGTCCCGAACTACAGGACCTCGGCCCCCACCTGCGAAAGCGCGACCTCACCCCCCTCCCCGGTCGGGCCGCCAAACACCAAAAGAAGGTCAAGCTAGACAAAGAGGAGAAGGTGCGGCTCAACGCTGCCAAGGCGGAGAAGAAAGCGCGGGACGAGGAGGAGTCTAGGATCGCCCGGCTTGAGTGGGCGATGGAGAAGGAACGGAGGGCGCTGGTTAGGACGTTCAGGGTGAAGAAGAACGGGGAGGGAGAGGTGTGGGAGCCGAGTTGGGGTGATCGGGTGAATTCACGTTCTTGAGAGGAGTACTACACCCAGATTGTCTCGTTATTGGAAACTGATTCGTATCTTCAAGTCTCTGACGCCAACTCCCCAACGTGAACTTCGTGAGCGCTAAAGACCCTAACCTGGACGGCCGAGATGAGCGCCCGGTCGGACTGACAGTCCGGCCCCGCATTTCCCACTCGGCACTCCGCATCGGCAGCCAAAGAAGGAACTCCCGCCGACATTCCACTCCAGACCATTACCATTCGTTCAGACGTGTCCATTTGAGTGGGCCTGTGGAGGGCCGACCGGATCCCCTCTCACTCTAAGGGATGCATATGGGGAATTACCCCCCTACCCTCTGGCGGCATGTTGAGTGGAGGTCGCACGTGACATTTTGGCCCAGGCTGACCAGCTCGTTATTGGAAACTACGCCGTGCTCCTCCACCTTTCTCTCGCTATAAGTCTCCCGTCCCCCGCACGCACAACAAGTTCTCCCCCACACGCAAAGCCCACCCCTGCTAGCACTGCTCACAATGGTAGGCACGATCCACCACACGCTGCCCTCTTTCCCCGAAGGGCTCCCCACCGCCCCGCTCGTCTCCGTAAATCTAGCCCGGCTCGAGTCCTCCGACCCCAGCGAGTCAGAAGCGTTCTACACAGCATGTAAGAACCTCGGGTTCTTCTACCTCGATTGTACAGGCTCCAAGCTGGGGGAAGAGATCGTACAAGGAGCAGAGCAGCTGCATGCGCTTCAGCAGGTGTTCTTTAACCTCCCTGCCGAGGAGAAAGAACGCTATGGACAGAGTATGGACAAGTTCTATGCTTATCGGTATACCGAACTCGATATCCGGGACCCGAATGGCGTGCCCCTCCGGACAGAGAACTACAACGTGCGTCCCCGCGGCCTTCAGCGTCCTCATCACCTAGCTAACCCCCCTTAGTTGAAGAAAGACGACGTGCTAGGAAACTGCCCCCGGCTCCCCTGCCACCCCCTAATCAGCACCAACCAACCCCTGTTCAAATCCTACGTGCTCAACTGCAGAGCCGCGATCGACCTGATGCTGCATACGCTCAACACCCACCTCCAGCTAGCCGAAGGCACACTCGCCTCCCTGCACAGGATCGACCATCTTTCGGGGGATCATGTTCGGTTTACGCAGGCGCCGCCTAGGCCTTGGGACGATAAGCGGATCTCTGCTGGCGAGCATACGGACTTTGGGAGCATTACGATCCTTTTCAATTGGCTTGGAGGCTTGCAGATCCGGAGACCGGACAACGATGAGTGGGTCTATGTCCGCCCTGTGCCTGGGAGCGCAGTCGTCAACCTCGGCGACGCACTCGTCAAGTTCACAGCATGCATCCTCCGTTCAAACATCCATCGTGTCGTCCCCGCTCCCGGGCCTCAAGCAGGGCTCATGCGCCACAGCCTGGTATACTTCTCCCGCCCGGAAAACGAGGTGATCATGAAGCGCCTCAGGGGGGGGTTGGTGGATGACCAGCCGCATAAGGAGGGAGAGGAGGAGGAGGAGGAGATCAATAGTCATGAATGGATTATGCGCAGGGCGTATGGGGACTTGAGGGGCATATATACGAGCAAGGGGTTGGAGCCGAGGGGCACGCCGGCGGCCTAACGCAGTCCATGGTTGGCGGGCTGCAGGGCGTGTGCATTCTTCGTTCTACGTTTTGATTGAGGTTGTACGAATCTAAGTAGTGTGGAGATCAATGCAGGGTTCATAGTACAGAGCTAGTCCAGTTCCTCTCCAGTGCCTACCCCCTCAAGACCAGGCATAACACTGCCTATCGCTCCCCTGAGCTCTCGTTCTCTCCCCCCTTCCCCGTCGGCGGAAAAGACAACGGGTGCCCATCTTCCCTCCAATGACTCGGTGCGTGCGCCCGGAGGGAAAAGCGCAGAGCGTAGGGAGAGCGTCCTGAGGAAAAAGAGGTATTCCCAGACCTGGGCTCTCAGACTTGTCTGCAGAACGTCAGCCCGCTCGGTGGAGTAACGAGGGGGACGTACGGGACTGACAGCGGTTTCTGACCTCATTCCTCGGTCTGCGCTGGGAGTGAGAGACTGTCGGGTTGCTTGTGTAAGTAGGGGGAGGGCGAGGAACCAGCCTATTACTAGTGCGAAGTAGCCCTGCCCCTGCTCACCCTGCCGCAGTAAGCCAGCGTACTGTTCACAAACAGTCGAACGTACCTCTACAGAAGGATAAACAGGCACCACCCTCCCAACCAGGGAGATCGTCTCCCCCACCCCCTCTCTCCCTCTTCTCAACCCCCATCTCACTCTGCCCACTCTCTCCCTCCACACCCCTGCGTAGGCGAGCCGTTCCCTCCTTCTCAGTTCCGGATATCGGGCGGTGACGACTCCTAGCTGGCTAGCGAGCAGGAGGAGGAGGGAGAGGGCGAACGTTAGGTCTGCTTGGGGGGATGTGGGGGTGTGAGTGGGGGATTGGGATTGGGGTTGAGCGGGTGGGGGTGGGGGGTAGGTAGCGGTTGGCTGGGGTAGGGGGAGGAGGACAACACTCTCTGAGAGAGAGTCTTCTGGTTGATCGCTGGTGTGTGTGGACATTGAGTGAGTGGGATGAGATTAAGGAATGGGTTATGTTACAAGTGAAATAGAAGTTTGTCTGTGTTGAGTTGAACAATTGTCGTCAGTACAGACAGGAGACGCGACGCGTTCAATGTATTCACGCGTTGGACATTATAAATTGGACACCAACCGCCAAGGACATCAATTATAACAACACACAACACACAACAACCCCTCAACTCTCATACCCATCCTCTCCCTCATCCTCTTCCTCCTCCTCATCACCAGGCGTAGCCCACACACTCCCCATCGCCCGCCACACACCCGTAAAACTCGCTTTCCACAGGCGGATACGCCCGTCGTCCCCAGCGCTGGAGAGGATCGTTCCCGTAGGGTTGAACTGTACGCGTCCGACTGGTCTGCCTCTATCACGAGGGTTAGCAGGGTCAGGGGGAATAGGGGGAATAAGGGGAATAGGGAGCGGGAGAGAACGGGAGGGGGAGAACGTGTACACACCCATGTTCCTCAAATTCCCCAACAAGCTCCGCTTTCCAGCTATCTTCCTCCTGAACCCCTTCCTTCCCGGGTACGACCTTCCATAGATACACGCACCCGGCTTCGCTCCCCGCCGCCAGGAGATGGAAGCTCTTCCCACACGCCGGGGCCCAGGCTACGCTCGTCAGCGGCGTACGGGGGGGCTCTTCTACTGCTGCTGGGAGGGGGAGGGGGGAGTGCGAGTGATCTGCTTTCCTTCGCGGTAGGGGGGCGGGGAGGGGTACAGGCGTAGGAGGCGTGGGGGGGACGAGCGTCGTTAGAGTTACTGGCCTCGCAGGGCCGCCGGGGAACTGCATAATCTGTTCCTGGGATCAGCACTGTCATCCCTGGTAGTCAATGCACAACGTACCTTGACACACCCCTGGTTCGCACAACACACAGCCAGAACATCACCCCACCATCTCTCGGCACACCAAGCCAGCGCCCACCCAGCGTCCGTCTCCCACCCACCCGTCGCCGCCTGCCTCTCCCCTCCCACTCCCACTCCCCCCAGCCTGCCCTCTCTCACCCCCTCCCCTCCCGCACCAACCACCCCCTCGCCAAACAACCCCATCATCCCCAGCTCCTCCCTCGTTTCCCACACTTCCAAACTAGGCAAATCAAGACATTCCCAAATCCTCACACATCCATCCGCTCCCACACCTGCCAACTTCAGCCCCAGAGCCTCAGGCGCCCATTCCAGACTCCTGATACTCGCTCCCTGATCCGTAAAAACCTTCCTCTCGACCCAGCGCGAACGTTGCCCCGCTCCGCGGGAAGGGACATCTTCGAATATCTTCACTGTACGGTCGAACGCTGCTGTGGCTAGTAAAGGCCCGAAAGCGGGGTGGGCGAACGATACCCGCGTAAGGGGAGCGTCGTGTGCCTTGAACTCGTCTTCCAATTCCCAGCCTCCGGAGCTGCCCCCCGCTGTGCCTGCACCTGTGCCTATGCCTGGGGCTGCGGAGACGGAAGGCTCTGCGGAAAGAGAGAAGATGCGCACACGGTGGTCGGCGCTGGCTACGGCTAGGGAAGTGCCGTAGTAGTTGTAGGATAGGTCGGTGATTATATCTTGGAAGAGGGAGGTGGGGAGGAGAGCGGATTGGAGCATTGTTGGATTGTGAGCTGTGGAAGAGAGAGAAGAGAGGCAACGAGGGAATGAATGAATGTGTGGACGCTTCGGTGGCGGTGCAGCCTTTGATCATTATTTTATGAATATCTACACACATCAACAGTGCGAATTCAACATATGAATTCCTGTATTCCACACCCTCTCACACCTCCCCTTCAACCGGGTTCGGGTTGGGCGAATGCAGCAAGCCCAACCCCAGTCCAAACAAAGGCGACAACTCTGACAGTGCATGGCTAACACCGAACGACGCATCAGCTTGCAGCTCGTGCCCGTCTGCTTATACAATGCGGTGGGGGAGATGTTTACTTGCGAGGACCAAAAGAAGTATATAGTGTGTTGGCAAGTGGAACAGAATCCACAGCATGCCGCGTCTTCGACCCATGCGAGCTTCAGTATCGAACCCGTGGAACAACTGCCAGATGCAGAAGATTACCACAAGTCCGCAGAAGGATTGAAGGTCTGCAGTACATGAGTGTGCCTCCTGTATGCGACAAAAGAGCACACATCCGCTGTTCGTGAATCCGAAGCCGATGACGTCGCTGAGGGATTCCACTAACCCTATAATTCCCTAGTAGTATTCTCAGTAGCATTCATCCATAATACCGGTGCAAGAATCCAGTTACATCTGCCAAGATCACAAGCGTAAGAGCGCCATAGCGTTCCGTAATCGCATACGGAGCAGGGATATAAGAAGAGAAGTTTGGCAGCGATCCGGTGACAAGATATTCCATCGCCAAGCCGAGATAGCAGAGTTCCAGTTTGACTTCCTTTGGCTTATCGTTGATATCGCAGAGTATCACCAACCAACCATAGTCTATAGATCCATTAGAAGGCGCTGGAGGGTACCGTACAATAGCCATACAGTGCCGAAAAGGACCTGACAACCGCGGGGATGAGAAGGATCAACAGCCGCTTATATCCCCGAGTGATTTATGCCGCTGCTCGGCTTAGATCAAGCAGATTAAGAGACAATTAGTGTACCCACTGTGAAGATACTGCACAGCCAGTAACATCCTGCTTCGCGCATAGACGATCGAAATGCTCTTAAACGCAATCCATCCTTCGGATTGGGTTGTTTGAGCTTCGGGACTGGCCATTCGGTCACGAGATAACGGGTTCCCAGGATCAAAGTCCCTCGAGGCAATACCTATGAAGGCAAAATTCCCAAGTTGAAGGAAACGGAATAGCCGATGAAGCCAGTCGTTTGCCTGGGATCGGACGTCGTATAGGACCTGATCTGTCCAGACCCACCCTGGACAGATGAGCATCCATACCATCGTTGATATATGCGCATATAGATGTTGCTTACATATAATGACAAAGTACGAGAAGAATAGACACCAGGGATGAGATCGCATGATTTGTCGAGAAGACAGCCAAGACAGCCAACTGGTCCGGTCTGGAGACGCGTTGTCTTCCGCTCCACTCACGATCACCAGATCGCATAGCAACTCAAGGCATGACCTGGCTCGTTGGTGTTCGGTAATCCAGAGCTCTTCTTTACTCCAGTCATGATAGCCTGCCTTTGCCTCTCGTAGGAAGACCTATCCAGTCTCTTCATGCAGAGCAACCAGGCGAGGCCTGATCAACAAAGAGAGCAACTGAGGACGGGTGCGGCTCGTTTTCGCCAGCGATCTTTCAAAGGGTATGAGTGAGGTCCGTTAGTAGAGGACATCGTTGTGGTTCATTAAATCTGCGGAAGACACTGTGATGGTGGTGGTTGAACGAGGGATCGTCGTTCGAAGACGACTTCTTACAATACACAGCCACCTTATCATACTTCTCTGACCCATCACAGATAATGATGAACGCTCCAACGACGCCTTCTCTCCTCAAAGCAGTCAGTGTCTCTACTTCAGACACATCAGCTCGGATACCGAGCTATTCCGACACCATCTCTGGTTTGAGACAAATACACCCTGAGGTCTAGCCATCTTGAGCGACATAATGCCAAGACACTGTGTTCAGCCATCTGCGAGGAACGGGCGTAGCTCAGCGCTTGATCTTGAACTATCGTGGATATGGAGGAGAAAATGATGAACAGTAATGCTGCAAGGTGCGCAATGTTGAGCAAAGGGGTACAAGAAGGTCCTGACTGGTGCACAGCGAGAACGAGCAAGATCGAGAAATCGAGGAGAGGGGATATCGCTCACGGATCATTCCGTTGTTAATCAAACATAGTCTCACGATGCCAGTAGACTCCAAGTGCGTAAATGCGGACTCTTACCGGGTAGATCCAAGGCTGAGCGTCTCCACAGAGAACAGCGATGGCTAACCAAGGCGCAGCGGGCACCCCAGTGGCTGGATCTCCTGTATGACTTGGTGATCGTAAGCAAAGGAGTTCCAGGATTCTGATCACAGTACTGAACTATGCTCAGATTGCGGTTCTGACCGTATTCACCGTCAATCATGAGATCACTGGCGGTCCATCGACCCTCGTATACTTCTCATATTTCGTCATCATTTGGTGGGTCTGGGCCTCGCAAGTGCTATACGACGTGCGGTTCGAGGCAAACGACTGGGTCCACCGCCTGTTCAAGTTCTGCCAGCTAGGAACGTTTGCTTTCCTTGGTGTGACGGCGCAGAGCTTCGACCCATCGAATGTACTTCCACCCGAGTCGGCTGTGGAATCATCTGAAGCCGCACAGCAGTCGTTGGGCGCGTCAGCTTGGACGGGAGTTGCAACCTCATACGCTGCTGGACGACTCTTCTTGATCCTCGAATATGTACTCGGTGCGGTGGATCATATCGAATATGATTGCCTTTAACATCTAACACGTTGCTTAGTTCTCATCACAACACGGCATTACAAGCGACATCTGCCTTCTTTGCTGGTGCCGCCGATTGTTGCATTCATTTCCGGAGTGTAAGCGCCCCATCGGCAATCCAAGATGTCACTTACTGACTTGTTACGTCAGTCTATGGGCCATCAGTGCGTCCATGACAGGGAACGCGGCTGCCAAAGTTGCTTGCGCCTACAGTGGCCTTGGGCTCGAGGTGGAAGCGACATTGATGCTTCCTCTAATGCCCCAATACATGAGGGCTCCGCCCGAAATGATCAGTGAACGCTTTGGTGCATTATCACTCATCATCATTGGTGAAGTAGACCTTCTACAACCACACTCAGACTTGCAGGTGCTCATGCTATCAAGGGAATCATCGGCATCATCCGATCTTTCAGTGCGGTCATGGCCGGGTTTGGGTTCAGTAGTGTGGCTTGTGCGTTTCAGATGTTCCCTGTCCTTTCCTTGTTCTAACTCGCTGACAGATGGGCAATGTTTCTGTGCCCTGGTTATTATCACCTCCCTCTGGTACTTTTTGTTCGACGGGTTCAATGTGGAGATTAGGATGGGGCGAAAGCGCGGGCTGCTATGGATCATCTTCCACTTCCCCCTGCACTTCAGTATTCTGCTGGTTCTCATCGGTTAGGCAAGCGCCTTTCTCACAGTTCGCTTCCTCATCCATTTCCCAGGAATGCGAAACACTGCCACGTTCGGCAATATCACCCACGCTCTGGACATTGTCAACCAGAACATGTTATCCCTTTTTGCCGACATCGACGAGAACAATTTCAACCATACGTCCGCCGGTCTACAGTACATGTCCATTCAACTTGGGAAGCTCTCAATCACTCCATCATGGCCAGAAGAGATCCGGAATATCCTCGACGAGGCCTCCAATCCCAATAGCACCCAAGACCCTGTTGTTGATGTTATCCAGTACCAGGTGCAGATTTACATCGGTATTGCAGCTGTAAGTTTGTTTTCCCCCCCAACACCAGATCGCTCAACGAGGACAGTACTACGATGTCCAACTATCAGATGACGTCTTGCACTCGGCAGAAGTGATCAACTCCCTTAATGGAACTCGGAATCCCGATTCAAGCACTTGGAATGCCACATATGACGAATATGTCGCTTTGGGCAACGAGTTCGATCAGGAGTACCAAACTGATCTGGGCAACGGCGTCCTTTTCTTTCTACCAAGCGCAGGAGGCTTCTTGTTTGTCCTTTCTATCCTTCACCTCCTCAGAAGCCTCCCCCTCGGCGGCTACATGTGGGCGTCATGGACTTCTCGGCTTGTTGGTGGAATTGGACTGGGGCTTCTAGGGCTTCTCGACCTGGGTGACAAGACGCTAAATGAGGACATGACCTCGCCTATATTTGTCTATCGACTGCAACAACGAAACTGGATGCGTGAGTGCTAGTGCCGTTGTGTTGCCGACGGGCTAACATCGTGCAGTGCCAGTCGTCGCAATCGTATACGCTGTGCTTATCATCTTCGACTCGGTAAGGTGCCTCATTGTACTAATCTTGGTCAAATTATTGATGAGCGCACAGCTATTAATGGTTCTGGCCGACCGTCAAGCTCGCCATCGGCGGGGGCCGGTTATCCCACATACAGACCAAGCGGGACCTCGAGGTACGATACTTGCCGCGTATTCACCAGGCCAAGCTGATCCAGATCTATTAACAGGCGCAAATAGCTCCGTTGAGGCCCGAGGTCCGGAATGCTCGGCACCACATGAAGAGACAGTGCTTCCAGGGTCTGGCACTCGAGTAAAGAGTGACTACTCTTGAATTACCTTGGAAACATGTTTCCTCAAGTCTACACATCGGCCCATCGTTGTAAAAATAGAGCTCGTAACGAGTGTCTTCTCTGACTACGCTTTCCAGTGTGTTAATTCCCAACGACTGCGGAGGGGAAGACGAATTCCAAGAGAAGCAACGTTGCTGACTCAGTTTTTATTCATATCTCGGCGATAAATTAGTGCCCAAATTTAGCAAGAGGTTTCCCAGGGATCCGACTTTGTTTTTAATTCAATTTATGAGAATTTTACATATTAATGACGACAACAAATACCGTACTTAGGGCGGAAGCAGCCGATGAGGAGACCCTGCCCGACTCCGCGTTTCACTCATTTCTATGCGCACTGCTATTTCCCCTTTCGAGGGGCTCATCCGCAACGTCGCTGTGCACACGATCACTCCGATTGGGCCAATGCTGAGCTTCACATGAAGCGCTTTGACCTTGAGTCTGTGTTTTGTGAAACATGAAAAGGACAGCCACTGGTGGTTTTGAGCGGCTCCTGGACCTATCACGTTACGGACTCGGGCAGTTGATGGATCTGGGCGGAGACCAAGCGGTGGTTGCGGGTGATGGTCTCGAATACACGAGGTCTGAGACAGCTATATAAGGCCTCGTTACCCCTTCAACGACTGTACACATCCCCGTTCTTGTATACCCCCCCATCTTCAGGTTAGTCACGATGATACAGGAAAGGTCCTACCATGAAAGAAATGCAGAGTGAGTCAGTTTCATCTGTCTTCCTGACTGACGCTGAATGTTGTGTTTAGGGAGGAGGAAGGCCGTGGTTGGAACTCGCGTTTGCTGCAGTTCGCCATCAAGCTAAAGGAGAGACCACCCAATGAGGAAACCCACGAGCAGTATTGGTTAGACAAGGAGGAGCGTGCTCCGGACTGGCTAGAGCTGTTCTACGATTTAGTTATCGTACGCTTCCCCCACTCGTTCTCGTCGCTGCATCTGATCAGCGAATAGGTTGCCGTCCTTTCCGTCTTTTCCACCGCTCACGAAGTCTCAAGCCCACACTCTGTTCTCGTCTACTTTTCCTATTTCGTTATCATTTGGTGGGTATGGGCTTCCCAGACGATGTACGATGTCCACTTCCAAGCGAATGACTGGCTCCACCGCATCTTCAAGTGCTTGCAGCTCGCGTCATTCATATTTGTCGGTGCGGGGAGTGCGAACTTTACGCCATTCTCAGTCCTACCAAGTGACGGGCTCGATGACGCGAGTATCCTTATGGATTCACAAGCTACGAGCTGGAAGGGCGTCGCCATTGCCTACGCTGCAGGGCGTTTCATCCTCGTCTTGCAATACATGCTTGGTACGTTGCGTTGTTTGGTTCTAAATCCTGGTTGTGATTGTTTACCGTGACATCAGTGGCCGTTCGCGTCATTTTCCCAAAGCTTGGTGCAGAGGTATATGGCGAGCGGCGTCACATGTCTTGGGTCCTTGCTCCTGCCTGTATCTACCTGGTCTCAGGCGTGTATGCACGTTCTCCTGATCAAGTTGCGCCAAATACTGACATATCGCAGTTTCTGGCTCATTTCTGCTCTCCTCACGACGAATGCAGGAGCTAAAGTTGCCCTCGCTTATTTCACCCTTGCTGTGGAGTTCCTGTCTGCCATGGTCATGCCCCTCGGGCCCGGTTACATGAAGCCCCCTGCGGCAATGATCAGCGAACGTTTCGGTGCCCTTACCTTGATCATCCTCGGTGAAGGTATCATCGGTATTGTGCGGAGCTTCAGCTTTGTGATCTCCGGTTTCGGATTCAGCAGCGATCAATGTGAGCACAAGGATGTTTTTTGTATGCCTACGATGCTCATGGCCTTTCAGATCTGCAGTGCGTCTGCGCCCTGATCGTCCTCTTTGCGTCATGGCATTTCTTGTTCCACGGTTTCCCGGCTGAGCGTCCCCTGAAGCGGAAAAGCGGAGCCTTGTGGCTCATCCTCCATCTTCCTCTTCACTTTGTGATGCTCCTGCTCCTTTCGGGCATGAGGAACGCGACTATCTACGGTAATATCGGCGACTCCTTCGCCAACGTCGTCGGTAATCTGCAAACGGTTGTATCTGCGCTCGCCACGACGGGATCACTCGACTCTGTCCCGGACGCGAACCAATACCTGGCTATCAACCTTGGGAAGATCAACGTCGCGACTCCTTATGCGGCTGAGATCACCCTGTTGAACTCGAGTATCAATGACCCTACCACTTTTGGTGACCCGCAACTCGAGACTGTCGTCTACTTTGCGCAGATCATGGTGGCTATCACAGACGTGTGTACTTCCTCCCTGGCTCCCGAAACCCGTTCTAATCGCTTTACAGTCCTTCCAGATCGAGCTGAGTGACGAAGTCAAGAGCCTCGCAGTCCAAGTGCTCAACTTCAACACGACTTTCGACCCGAACGATGAACAACGGAACGAGACTCTTGCGGAGTACCAAGAGCAGTTCTTCGACTTCGGCTCAGCGTACGTGACTGACCTGGCCCAGGGCACGCTGTTTTTCGTCCCCTGCGCGGGCGGGCTGGTCATCCTCGCTTCCCTGCTCGTGCTTCTCCGCGCCGCGCCATTAGGCAAGTGGATGTGGATTGGCTGGGGGATCCAGGTCACGTTCGCGACTGCGTTGTGCTTCCTGGGCTTCCTCGACGTGGGGAACCAGGACATAGATGTGAACAGCGACTACGAGTTGGCGGCATACCAGTTGTTGGATGCGAGTTGGATGTGTGAGTACAATTTTCCTTATTCCTTTTTCCTGTCTGACTCCCGCTTAGTACCAGTAGTAGCGATCGTCTTCGCCATTCTGATCCTGATCGAATATGTACGTCCCCTCCCTCGCAGCATCCAATCCCCATGCTAACCCACTTGCAGCTCGCGCTCGTACTAGCAAAACACACCGACATGAGGCGTCGGGCCTCCCTCGGCTCCCCCCCTTCGTCAGAAGGGTTCATGCACCAGCACGGGAAAGAAGTGGAGCCGAAGCCTACGCCTTCTGCTGCTTCTCTCGAGCAGGGCATTGTCGGCTCTCAGGAAATGCGGGACGGACAGGTGCAGGGGCAGGGAGTGCAGGTACAAAGCCGCTCTACCTCCAATATGACTGATTAGACGAGAAACAAGGAGAGGGAGGTGTAGATGGGGAGCGGGCCTGGATCTAGCGGTTCGGCTTGGGAAAATGACTTTAACGTTCTGTGTATAATAGCTCTCCTCTCTATGATGTGATGTGATATCATTTGTCGATGGCTAGGTTGACGAAATTATTATTTACGCATGTTCTCGTAGTATGGGTGGGTGTGAGACCCTGTTATATGTCACACTGGGCAGAGTGCTGTAGCTGTGTCAACCCAGGTACAGGAGAATAGGGATTGGGGCCATTGGCTCACTAGCTATAGGAGGTGCGTTGCCAGCTGTAACAACGTGCCGGGTAATGTAGGGATGGCACCGGACTCTGAGGACCGCGGTCCTGCCGATGCAGTCCAGGACCAACACTTTTGGAAAATCCGGTTCAGTCCTGAACTGCGAAGGACCGGTCCGTCCCACGCAGCCACCATTTCGCCATGCAATAGTTTGACTATTTTTGCGTTGCAGGGATGGTGACCGGGTGTTGAAAGGAGGAATTTCCGGTGGGGCCTCTGCGGAGACTTTCTACAATGCCCCTCTGGAGGCAATTGCCCTTCCTCACGTCATCTTTGTAGGAAACTCATAAATGAGAGAGTTTAGGGGTCTTCCAATAATATTTACATACGGTGTTATCAAGAAATGAAAATATATACTCCTAAATAGAGGCATTATTTAAGGGTCATAATAACAGCAATGTACCAAAATGACTGAGAGGGATTTTGCTCTTTGATTATCCAATTTTTTCCATACTATAACATCCAATACTTGTGGGACCCCAGAACAATTGAATTATGATTTTCTTTCTCACTGCCACAATGACGATGCGAGTTAGGGCAATTGTCGGAGGGGCATTGTAGGAAGATTGTCTCCGCAGAGGAGGCACCGGAGCTGTTTTAAGTGCATGATGAATCTCCGTGTGCTTCCTCCTTGAAGCGCATTTAGTGGACCGGACTGGACCGGGACCGACGACCGTCCATCCCTAGCCGGTATGTGTGCTGTGTCCAATACGAGATTGCGATTACTACGAGCCCATCCACCTGAGAACTGGCAGTGTACCTACAGAGACTGCCAGGTCTTATAATTCATGACATCAATGATGCGGTGTTGTGACTGTGGCTGTGGATTCTCTAGGGGAAGCCCGACACATGTTTCGTTCTCTGGGGCCAGAAGGTTTCGTGATTTCAATACACAGCAAAAACTAGATACAGAGGATATATATATATATATATGAAGTTGGGGTGCCATTGATATCTGAAGCATCGCCAAGTCTTCGATGATAGAGGAACTAGAGTGATCGCCCAGGCTACCCCTCAGGTCTTATTTCATGTTATGGAACAGAGCACCGAGCCGGACTTGACCATTCTCCTTTCTCCACCCTATAGCGCTGGTCGGTGAGTCTGCTCGCTGCCTTTGTACCACGTATTCCCCTGAACGTCGCTATTTGACATTGCAGCTAGACAATAACTGCACACAACCCTACACAAACGCAACCCACCCACAGCCACCACTACGCTAATCTCTTCAACGTGACTCTATTCATGAACCGCTACTTCTTCCTATACCTGTCCTTGTCGTCCACGATCCTTGTGGCTCTTGCTGCCCCCCTCGCCTTGTTGCAGGATGATTCCCTGTCCAAGCGCGCAATTCCAGCAAGTAGTGACGAAGGCTCGCTCTTGTCCTACCGGTCTTTTGCAGATGAGCAGGAGTTTCCCACGTTGTTCTTTCGCGAGCCTCTGCCAATGGTGAGTGACCAGCGATGGATGTGGCGACTGTTGCTGCGAATCACTGAGCGCAAGCTGGGTTTTCTCACAGGAGGTTGATGATCCACCACCCCATCCCAACCCTCTAAAAAGGGTTCGGGAGTCGGACACACCTGTCCCTAAGAAGAAGCCTCGGTGGGGGTCAAAGGATGAGCCTCCCAGCGACCCACTGAAGATGACTGGACACGTACCCCCTAGTGTCGCTGCGCTACGTACCAAGCAGTTGGCCGACCGAAGGGTTGAAACCACAGCCACAGTCGCCATCAACACACAAGCAGCCCCATCATGATCTCACGATGGCTTAGAAGACCTGGGAGTTTTCTATAGGTCGGTACACTGCCAGTTCTGCCCTCAGGGTGGGATGTGCTGTCTGCTTGTGGTAGTAATGGCAATAGTGTTTCAATGGCGCGGCGCGGAGAAGCACGAGCAGGAAAGCGAGGATGACCAGCCCGCCCGCGCGGGGAAGGAAGAACAGCGTGTCCTGACCCAGGTCGGTTACATACGCAGAGCCGAACTCGAAGCACTAGGTTCTTGGTACTCCGTAAGAGTCTCGTTCTGTTGTTCTTCGTTCGGGTCGAAAGTCGTGTTGAAGTTGAGCACTTGGACTGCGAGGCTCTTGACTTCGTCACTCACACACCTCCTCTCCAACCCCATTCCGCCCCAAACTCCAACACGCACGCACAGAGTCCGCTCTCCAGGAACTGGAGTATCATCTCGCACAGGAGAGAGCAGAGGCGAGACACGAGCTCGAGGAGGAGAGGGAGCATGAGCGGCCTGAGCCTAGAGGGTTCGAAACCCGGTTGTTGGACTGGATCATCCATCTGGGAAAACCCGAATGGAACGAGAAAGGGTATGCCAATGTCCCACATCCCACTGCCCCTCGCTGCTTATGTAGTAACCCAGCGACCGCGTCTGGCTTGAAGAAGAAAAACGCGCCCCAGAATGGCTGGAACTGTTCTACGACCTCGTCATCGTCGCTGTGCTCTCCGTATTCTCCGAGACGCACGAAGTGAGCATAGGGCGGTCCGTCGCCGTCTACTTCTTGTTCTTCATAATCATGTGGTGGGTCTGGGCCTCTCAGACACTGTATGACGTCCAATTCCAAGCGAACGACTGGCTGCATCGGCTCTTTAAAGGCGCGCAACTGGCGGCGTTCCCGTTCATTGGTGCGTGTGCGGCACAGTACGACCCGTGGAACGTCACTTGGAGCCCAGAGGTCAGCCAGGAAGCAGCAGTGATAAACGCAAAGGCGAACAGTTTCAGAGGGGTAGCGATCTCCTACGCTGTAGGAAGAGGTCTACTTGTCATCCAGTACGCGTTTGGTGAGTCCCCGGGCAATCAACATGCAGAGTACCATGCTCACGCGGTATACTCGCGCGTGTGTAGTCTGTGTCCGCCTGCTGATCCCGATTAAGAACCAGAATTTGAGAGCGTACAAAGGCCATCTTTCGCTCGCCCTGGTCCCCGCTCTCGTGCACCGTGTTTCTGGCGCGTACGTCCCCTGTTCCCTCCTTCCCACGTTCCACGCTAATCCCCGCCCCCCGCATACAGACTATGGGTCATCGCCGCCCTGCTAACAAATTCCGAGCCCGCCAAGCTCGCCCTCGCCTACTCCGGCCTCCTCCTCGAGTTCCTCTCCGTGCTCATCCAGCCCCTCCTCCCGGGGTACATCATCCCACCCGCAGAGATGATCAGCGAGCGCTTTGGCGCGCTGACGTTGATCATCCTTGGGGAGGGCATTATTGGCCTGATCAGGAGCTTTAGCTTTGTCATTTCGGGATTCGGGTTCACAGAGACTGCCTGTACGCCTATGCCCTTCCTGGCCGCTCGAGCTGCGCGCTGATGCAACTGATGCGCGTGCACTGGCAGACCTCCAGTGCTTCTGCGCACTAGTGATCGTCTTCTCCGCTTGGCATTTCCTATTCCACGGATTCTGGGCTCAAACATTCAGGCTCAAGCGCCGTTCTGGAGCATTATGGCTCACCCTCCACCTCCCTCTGCATTTCACGATCCTCCTCTTGTTTGCCGGCATACGCAGCGCGACCGTCTATGGGAATATGGTGGATGCGATGCAGCAAGTGCAAACAACCCTAACACCCATTATCAGTGCGCTCCAAACGGGAGACCTGGGCTTGCAGGGCGTGCAAGATCAGAACGAATGGATGACGATGCAGCTTGGGAAACTGGATATGCCTACTCCTTGGGAGGCACAAGTGGGAATATGGACACGGGAGGTCGGGAATCGGTCGGTGCCGGCCACGGATTTGACGATTGCGAGTTATGGATATGTGGCTGAGATCTGGTTGGCGATCGCTAACGTATGTACTCCTCTCCACTAACCTCCAACCCCCATGCCAGTTCCGTTTCCGTTTCACCAAAGATCCTCCCGCCTAACCCGCTGACCCCGCTTCCAGTCCTTCCAAGTCGAACTCTCAGACACGCTCATAAAGGAGACTCAAGCCATAGCGAACCTCAATGACAGCTGGATCCCTAGTCCCCTGAGCCGGATCGCCCTCGAGCAGGAGGACGAAACGCTCTATGAGGCGTTCATCTCCGATCTGGGAGTGGAGATCGCCCAGGGGGTGTTGTTCTTTTTCCCAGCTTCGGTGAGCTCCCTATGGCTCCTTCTCCATCGCCGCTAACCCTGCAACGTAACGGAACGGGGCGCTCTCCTCACCCTCTCCGCCCTCCAGATCCTGCTCCGCGCCGCCCCTCTAGGGCTATACATGTGGCTCGCCTGGTTCCTCCAGCTCTCGGCTGGCGTCGTCCTCTGCCTACTGGGATTCTTGGGCGTGGGGAACCAGTTCCAGAACCCGGCTCAGGAGGAGACGTTGTTGGTTTATAAGCTTTTGCATCTGAGTTGGTTGAGTGCGTCCTGTTTTTTGCCTTGTACTTTTTCCCTTTGGGGGTTTGCGCTTTTGCGCTTTCGCGCTTTGGGATTGGGGATTGGTGAGCTGATGGGAGGACAGGATACTGAGCGAATACGTGAGTTTCCCTTCCCTTGGCATGATATTATCACACAGGCTACTAACCGGGGTAAACAGTGGTTCCTGAGGATCGCGAAATGGACGGCGCAGCATACGGGCCAGACACCACCTCGTTCGCGTGAGTGTTTTCCTGCGTCTTGCTTTTGTAGGCGTGGCTGATCCGGGGTAGCGAGGGTGGCTGAAGAGGGGCGGGTGCCGAAGGAAATTCGGGAAAAGGGGGAGCAGGCGGAGTGAGAGTAATGAACTGGACGACATCACATTATCCTCAGCATCCTTATCATCATTTATCATCAGCATCTCTCTGCATGCGATTTCCCTTCTATTGAGGGTTGTTACCCCTTTCTACGATGAGAGCAGTTTGTAGTACCTTTATTTGTGATCCCCTTTTTTACCGTTAGGTAGCTGTAATAATCCATTTTTAGTCTTTGCCTGATCAAGCGCTCTCCGTTCAAGGCGAACTCATGAACGGCGATAAGCTGTCCATATCGCCGATACGCGTGTCAGATACTTCGTCACACAGAGATCTACCACAACCGTGAAAGGATCCTCAGGGAGCAGTGGGTCAAGGTCTCCGAACTGCTAATCGTCTGCGAGGAGCTCTCCAAATGCCAAGAGACAGAGGGTGTCAACGCCCTGAGCGAGTGCACGTGGTTGGCGAAGAAATACACAGATATGATAAAGAGCAGAGAACACAGGGTGCGTTTTGTTCAATTATGTGTCGAGGTTATGGACCTGATGCAGGTCAAGGGGTGGAAGAAAATTGCTCCGATGCCTAAAATGTGGTGATGTAGCCTGCCCGAATGGAAATCTGTAATCCTTTTTTCGCTTCTTGCCCAAACAATGTGTTCGAGATGAGCCCCTTGTCCATTAATGATACAGTCTTATCCGCTTGACTTTTGAACCGTCTATTCCTGCGCCCTGGCCTCTGACAATCCAAGGTTATTCATCCCGCACATATCCAGCCAGACAATCCCATGGTCACTCGTTCTGACGTTCTTGCGTCCATATCCCGTTCCCATCACCCTTCCCTCTCCCTTCTCTCCAATCAACTGGCAATCCACCAGTGCATAATCCACCCTGGCAGCATCGCTTCCCACCGGTTTCCCTTTCGCAAACCAGCTGTATGCTTTCTGGCTCCCGTAAAAAGCACGATATACGTCCACAACCTTGGCCTGGGGAATGAACACCTCGTTAAACTGTTTCCTTGCCAATGCGTGCGGATATTGCATACGCAAACATGGATAACAGTCCACCTTTGCGAGGGAGATATTGAAGTCTCCTATGAGCACCAGCCTCAGCCCGAGTGCCCGCATTTTCTTGATTTCCTCGAGCAAGAGCATGTTAAATTCTCTCTTTCGCTCGTTCCTGGTCTTCTGTGGCAGCAGTTTGGCTAGTAGATCCCCCTCCATACGTGGATCCACCCAAGGGAAGTCACTCCCATTCAAAGCGTAGACGTTGACCAGCTCCCAGCCGTCGAACTCCAGTATATGCACTTGTCCTTCCGCGTCCCAGTCCACCGTTCACTCCCGGTGCACCCATTTCACCCACAGATGAGCAACGAGTGTGCACACGCCGTACCTCCGCTGTCTACAGCGGGAGACGTTCAGCACCCAATAAGCAGTGTATGTCAGTCCTCCATCTTCTCGCCTCTCCATCTCCCCGTCCCGATCTAAAGGAGAGACCCCATTCGCAGCCGTGCACATGGCCATCATCCAGTCCTTGTCTGACGGTCTCGCTCGAACTTCCTGCAGGCAGATGAACTCCGGCCAATCCCATTCCTTGAGCAACGTGCAAGGTTGTTCTCCGGAATTCGCCTTGGGGGTTGTACAAGATAACTGGACATGCCTGCGGACGATACAGTGTGATGGAGGTCGAGGAACGGAACAGGTGTCTCGACATTCCAAGAAATGACGCATGTTATATCCTCGCCATCCCGCTTGGATTTGCTGTTCGTCGTTGGTGTGCGTACAAGTCGTGTCTCCGAACTGGGATTCAGTCATTGTCGTTTCGCCGGGGGTATCTCCGCTTCTGTCTCTTGCTCCGGAGTCACTTCGCTAATCGCTAGGTTCCGTTTTGACATGGTCGCTATCTTGGGTAGGAATGGCCAGCTCAAGCCAGAGAGAGAAGAGGGTTTCTGGTAGAAGAACAGATGTGTACTCTACAAAGACGAAGCGGCCATACCAAGTCATTTACGTCATTACACTGCCACTAACAAGATTGATTGATGAATGTCATCAATGAAAAACACCCTGAACATTAATATTATCTTCCACCATACTGATACAATAACCAATGCCCTGGCAGAAGACTTTCACTTTGGGAAGGAGAGGAAAGGGGTACACAAATCTTGCAGTGCACTTATGCTCTGGTGTTCACTGAGTTGAGCAGATGCCACCTCATCACTCAGGAGGTTGAGCAACACCTCTCTGAAGGGCTGAAGGACACCCCAGTGCATCTCTATCATATCTACACTTGAATGGCTTGTACTCATGAAGTGCTAGATTGGACTATGTCATTTGTTCATGTGAGTCAGTTGTGGGTCCACTGGCATTGGCATTGATTCACAAGAGGTTAGCCAGCACATGAGCTGTGCATTGACCATTAATGAGAACTATGATCCTGATGTATGAAAAGGTATGTCCCATCTTCCATTTCCAACCCCGGACAGCTATGGAGCTGATTGGTGTGCACAGACATGGATATGGCACTAGACAACATCATCCCTGAATCCCTTGCTGTCAGGGCACCAGCTCATTGGTTGGTCAAGAGACATGACTAAGCCTTTATGACATGGAAGTAGCTGGTATACCTTGGCATGTGCTGGAACCTGCTGGAAGGATTGGATGGTCAGGTGACCTGCTGTGCATGGCTGTGCATGACCTCATATGACCTCATCCTTGGTCATATGACCTGATCACCTGACTAGGCTGAGTAAGCAAGATGTTCTAGCAGGTTCCACCACAGAGGTATAAATATAAGGCCTACTCTGCCTGGGACTGTCTCTTCAGACTTGGTCTCTTAGGATCATCCACAGATACCTATACTGTAGATAGGTCTTAGTCATCAGGTCTACTCCACTTCCTTGTTGCCTGCTTAGACTCTTGGCACTCTTAGGTGAGCAGACTTAGTCAGCCTGTGTTGCCCTAACAGAAGACCAAGTCTCCAAGTGACAACCTCTGCTTCACCACTCCACCTCTACTCTTACCTGCCTTTACTCTTACCACACACACCCAACACCTGCCTTATTCCATATCCACCATTATGGAACAAGCAGAAGAATTCCCTGATCCCATTTCTATTCTTCAAGCACAGGGTCCTAGAGCTGACTCAGCAGCTCCAACAGCTTATGACAGCTTCCTGGGAGTAATCAGCCTACAGCCCCTGTGTCTAATCTCCAACCCATAGTAACTATGACACCACTACCTATGGTGACAATAGTCATGGAAA